TGTTTAACCAAAGCTAGGTGATTTGCACTGGGTTCTTGGGTACATCGTTCTATGTTTACAGCACACTCTTGTTTTCCAATACTCCAGGAAGTTTGCATCAATCTCCTTTCAGTTCTCATTGACTCTGAGGGGTATTTTTCTTTACTCTGATTTACTTTAGTTGCTTTTCCTTGGTTCTGGTTTTATCAAAAAATTATTTTCACCCTTTAACTCCCAAGATCTGATTGTTAATTCTCCCCTCTAGCTGATACACATTTCCCTGTAACTTAGTTATAAGAATTTGGTGTTAGATCAAGACAACAACCTGTACCTGATAAGTTTGAGAATTCTTATGAACTCTTTGCTGGACAAGGTATGGATATTATGGGGAAAAGTTACATGTTAGTAATTAACTCCCAGGAATAATTATTACTCCTGGGAGTTAAAGGGTTAATTCTTATCAATATCTTGTGTAGGTGAAAATGAGTGGAAATCAAGGGGACATTATTTGACTTGAGGATATAATTTTTGACCAGATATTTTCCTTTCAATGAACATTTGACCAAAAGTATGGCTTGTAATGTTTTAGGACTTTTCCTGACTCCTCTGCTGATGAGTTTGCCTGAGAAAGTCAGGGATGAGCTGGGTAAAACTGTTCCCTTCCCAAGTCGTCTGGGTGATCCTGCAGAGTTTGGACATCTGGTACAGAGTATTATCGAGAACCCAATGCTAAATGGTGAAGTTATCAGGCTGGATGGAGCTTTACGCATGCAACCTTGATGTCATTTCATTTTGGCCAAATTTTGACTTCTTTCAAATGATTAGTCAGCTAGAAATGATTTCATGTGATAGGTGAGGTAGATAATTAACTTCTAGAACAATCTGTAAGTTGCACAAACATGCAAAACTGTGGACATTCCAGTTAACTTATTGTAGAGATTATTATTCTCTAGAACAGGGATAGGTGAGTGGAATGTCAATGGTTGGAGGGGAGGAGGAGAGGGACAAACTACATTTGCCCTTCCCCTCTTATCCTGTCATGTCTGCTGTCTCTCTGGAATACCAATAATTAATTTTCACACATGCAGCTCAGAAAATATATTACTACTGAAAGATTTTAAGCAAACCAGTATAGTAATAAATGAATAAACGCGCATGTCTGTTGTGACTATGAATAGTTTTTCACATTTTTATGCATATATTATTAGATTTCCATCCTCATATAAATATGGATTTTATAACAGAGTCTGTGTTTTTGTTATTTTCTTGGTAATCTTAAGGTCAGCCAATGGAAAAACCTGAAGTATTTTTGGTTTGTGTAATTGTGTCATGTCCAATCACACTGGAGATCCTAACTCTGGAGCAAACCGCAAAACCAAAAACTATTTTACTAAAATTGAGTGCAGCTTTGCTTTCAAATATGCGATTGGCCTGATTGTGTTAACTTGACAAAACGGTACGTCAGAAATATTCTTGTGCTCGCGGTTTTCTGAGTTTTACAATAACTACCCCCAAAAACAAGCCCGTGAAGCGAATTGTTTTCCTCGTAGAAGAAGTGGAGCCCAAATAGTGAGTGTAAAATCTCTTTCACTATATTTCTATGCCTATTAATTTGAGAACGAGAAGTGACCCCCCAGTTCAACGTTAGCTAAAATCGAACTGATTTCAAATGTTAGCGAAAAGTAGTGACCCAAGACGCTAGAAAAATCAGTGACCTTGAACTAGGGAAATGACCTAAGATTGTCGCTAACTTAGACGGTGGCAAAGTTGACCCAAGACGACAGCGAATCGGTGTAAGACTCACAAACAGGCCGTTTGCGGGACGATCGAACAACCGCTCCCTTTTTTGGGTCTTGGGGGGGCGTTGCCGAGGTGTGCTATTTTTCCTGCACCTCTTGAACCGAATTTTCTAGTTGCAGGTAATGCGAGCTTAGAGATGTAGGGTGTGCCGTGTTGAGTTGGAAACTTTGTGAGGGATTTTGTCACGAAATCTTGACAGATCCCACGGTTGGTGGTCAACCGAACGGAGCACGTACTGTCTTTGTTTACTTTACGGAGATCTCCTCGATTTCTCTTTGATAGTTCATAGTACGGTACGATCAAGAAATAGCGAGCATTTGCAATTTGTCACCTGAGTTCTCCATCATGTTTTCCTAGTTCGTCCTGTGTGACTGGAAATTTTTCTAAAATCACGTTTACCGTAAAAAATTTACGCCCATTTATTTAATGTATTGCACTTTATTCATATTTCACAACATCACGTTTTTTTCTTTAGCGAGCTACATACGTGCAGCTTCATCCGTGAAAATCTCGCCCCTTGTCGTGGTTATTGTGAAATCGGTCACACCCTCTGATTTAATCCTTTCGGTGTCAGAATGTTTGACTAACTGATTTGAATGAAATATTAAAATGGTTGACGTACAGTAGTTCTAAGCCAATATTTGGTCGCACAATTTTCCTTGACAATAAGGTGACTTATTTTGTCGTATTTTTCACTGTATCACTGTTGTTTTACATCGTTATTTTGTGGCGTAGACAACAGCAGTTTAAGTCAAATTTGTTTTCTCGTCATGAGTCCATGGTGTGCTTCGGTTTGCGTTAATAAAGGCTTCTCTGGTCGTTTATTAACTTTTCGGCTAAACTTGCGGAATTTAGCCAAATCCAGGCTTCGGCAACTAGCCAGCGTTGAGAATGAGATGTAAAAATAATCGCTTGAAACAGTAAAGGAACAGACAGAGAAAAGAACAATTACAAGAAAAGTTAGGCTGTGATTTTTTTCTGTGAGCCTTTTATCTCTGAGTTTCCGGGAAAGAATTTGCAATTTGAAAGGCGATGAATAATCACGCATTAATAGGCACGTTTTCGTTGACGACGGCGAAGTGACGACCGATAAGAAACTAGAACTAAAGGGTTCATTTCTCTGACCAACATGACATATTTTTGTTCTGTCCACTTCATCTATAGATTAAACATACACTATATTTGAAAAATAACTCAACGAATTCAAGTCCTATACTATTAAAGCTTCTGTAATGACAGACACATCCCTTTTGAAATTGTTATTGCGAAAAATTACAAACTGTTAAGCTTACAAGAGTCGTTCTGCCTTGGCATATCAAAGACAGAAATTGTTTTATATGTTATATGTGTAATGTTAGAGCGATCAATTGCCATCAATTGTACACTCTTTATTTTTGTCAACTATTTTGATTCAAGTGTCGGAAAAAAAAAACGTTTTGCGAAGAACGCAATCTTCTCGTGTGTACAAGAAGTATGTATTTGTCTGCTTGTGAACATGGTGATTAACACACTAAATACAAAATTAATTTGAGTCGATTAGAAAAGCTTCCATGTTAAATGAAAGGCCAGGAGGAAGGAATTAAAAAAATGACTCAAGTGTTATTTCAAGCTATAACAATCTACCAGTCATACATTGAGAAAATCGGAAAAGACAACTAATTATTCCACTGAATGAAAGCAACCTCTTCGTTGGAAGCTATTTTGGCATGCGAAAACAATTTTAAAAGATGAAACTAATAATGCTTGCAGAACATTATTTCAAACATAAAATCAATCATTATGTAATTTTACCAAGCTGTTTATCACGACGTGAAACCAACGACTTCAGGACAACGTTTATGTTACAACGTGTTGTTCATGCGCAGTGAGGACTGCAAGGAAATTTCACGTTTCCAGTTGCCGTCTTGAGGCCGACTACGTCTGTTGCTTAAGGTGCCTAATTACAGAACGCCACATAGAGCGTAACTAATAAAGCAAACGTATATTTCACGGTATGAGTTTAAAGAGTGGCTTTAAGAACGATTACATAACCTTTCTCCTTGCATTTGCTACATGAAAGGGGTGAATACCGATTCAGAGGGTAAAACCCCTAATACCTTCATGCGTGGACACGTTCCGTTTTATTATTAAAACAACTTCCTCTTATGTCACCTCTAGATTTCACGTGTAGTGTCACATGACTTTTGATGTGTTCGGACAACGAGTCCACCACCCACTACCCGTGTGCGAACTTCGGCTTCGGCATTTTGTCGTAAATAATTTTCCACTGTCGTGAGGCTTTCCCACGCTCAAATTGACTTCTTTGTTTTATCATAAGTTTGATTATATATCAAGCAAGTTGTTATTTCGCTATCGTCCTAGGTAGATGCGAAGAATGTAACAGGAAGCGTTTGATTATTCCATGCCGCAACGCCCCCTCTCACAGTCTTCGCATCTATTTTAGCGGTAGCGAAATAACAAAGAAGTCATTTTGTGCGTAGAAACGCTTTACGACAGAAGAAAATTATTTACGACCAAATGCCGAAATTGAAATTCGGACACAGTAGTGGGATGTTGACTCGATGTCCGAACTTGCGCAGTTTTTTTACATCAAAAGTCGTGTTTCACCAGTCGTGAAACCTTAAGCCGAAAAGGTGAATTCTGAATGGTTGTCTAAAGTCACGCGCCAAGTATTTTGATATGCGATTAGTAAGCATCTGTGTCAATTTTAATTTAAACAGAAAAGCTACTCTGCTAATCAATTAAAAATTTTCCGCTAATGGCCGTCGAGCATGTTTGATTTTGACACGATAATTTTTTGAAGGAGCTGTTTTTATCTTATCAACACACAATTACAATTTTACTTACAATTTTACTTTCACATGGGCTCACAAATCTTAGAGTTTCCCCAGTGATTCTCCTTCACTTATCAAAAGTTTGAAAACTCTGACAGAGTAATCAAAAACTACAACAACAACGGATACAAATATTTCTTATTTTATTAAGAACATTTAAAAAACTAAAATTTTTTTGATATCTTTAAGCCGGTTTTGCCTGTTTTATTTTGATTTTTTTTCACTTAAAAAATGTTTTATGAGTTGTACTTCGGCCAGTTTTGAATTTTTAGACAAAACACGTGGGCTGAAGGTTGCCTTCACGTTTTGACCATGTCGTTTTTCTCACTTGCACGTCCCGTGAGAGAGCACATGACAATTTTGGTTCACTCTTGGTTGGAGGCGTAAATATTCATGTAGGGCCACAGCGATCACGCAAGGGGGAACCCTAGGGGTTAATTGATTTTCACAATTGTTAATTTTCGTCATCATCTCTTAAGTGGACAATTGACACGCTCCACACCCATATTATTTCCCCCATAAAAGGATCGGAAAATGACAGTTGTTACTGAAATAACTGCCAAGCCCACCGCGAAACAGCCAATCACGATTCATTGACGTAAAGATCTATTTTTAGTATCACGTGGTCTAAATTGACCAATTAGAACCGAGTTTATAGTAAGCAAGATGGAAGGTTATGTGCGAGATGAAAGTTTTTTAACGAAAGAAGTTTGAGCTCGCTTTAGCAGGGTTTCCTCGTTAGCTCGTCCTCTAGGCCTTCAATCCTAGCTTCATTTCAATTTCGATTATCAAGGCTTTCAAATGAGTGAATCAGGAGTGGATCTCGAATTTGATCTTCTAAGTCCTGACGACTTCGGTTCGCACGAAGAAGAAGTGTTCGATTTTTACACGATAAAGTCTAAAATTCCGGATCTTCCAAGGTAAGTCGAGCTTAAAGTGTACTAAGAACAAATTTCTTAGGATATTCTACAATACCAATTTACTATGCAAAATTTTAAGGTCGTGATTTCCTCGCTTCCTGCTCCAAAATTGAAATATTTTTTTAGCCCAAAGCGTAAAGCCTAGTCGCGCAATCGATCGAAACCAGCCAGTACATGAGATGAAATCAGCTGTAATCTACTGTCATTTAACACGCAAAGGAACTCACTGCGTCAGATACGTGACAATTTTGTGCAAGATCGTTCGAACTTTCAGAGAATTTATCAGTAACGCAGCTCGTCTGAATATGCTCTCTGAAATGTGGTCGGGGGTCTTGTGTTTTATCATGTCGTGAACTTGCGTCTTTCATCCCATTGGTTTTAAAACCTACTCGTCCTGACATGAATTTATTTTTGGACATAACACGTGAAAAACATGAATACTTCTCAAGAAAACACGTATTCCCCCCTCTTCTGATCACGATCAATTTGTGTTCATTTTTTCCGAGTTTAAAGGTGTAATGGATCGGAAAATTGTATACGTTGCAACTCTTAACGTTTCTCGTCGCTCAACGGAGCGTTATTCCTTTGGATAAATGCAATTTTCCTCCCTGTTGAAACAGAAAGTTTTACAGTGCTTTTATCGTTCAAAGTTTGAACTGAATATTCTTTGTCTTGTACAAAGGAAAATGGTTTGATTTGACAACTTGCTGTTAGTTGCAGTAGTGAATTTTCTTGTGCTTTCTCGCTCTTTCGTTTTCAGTTTCGATTATTTCATTGCGTAGCACCATTGTGCTTGTAAGCAGTTTGTTTTAGTTTTGCTTGCCCTGATCGTATTACATTTAACTCGCCCTGCTTGCTTCTTAGGCAAAATAAAACAAGTACATCTTGGGTAAATGACTATAGCTGTTCTTTTAAGCACGTGTGATTGTTTTGAAGCTTTCCTCAAAGCGTTTTCAGTTTTTAAACAGTGGGATAAAGAATTGTTTTGTTTTCATTCTCTACTTTTGACAGATTATTTTCATGTGACTTTCACGTTATTGTGCAAGATACAAAAGACCAATTGTTCTGGCAGCAAACTGAGTTTTTTTGCATGTCAAATTCCTACAAAATTTTTGCATTGGGAATCCTAAATTTCTTTTGGACAATTTCGCTTCCTTTTGGCTTCTGTATGAGAGATTTTAGATTCGGGAAATTTTTGTGCAAATTTTTGATTTCACAAGCACTAGTGTATTAGTTTCAGCTGATCTTTACTGGAACAAATAAAATTACTATGAATGAATTGATTTTCTCAATTGATTATCTCTTGATTCTCTCTTCTCATCCCAGATATATAATGACAGCCATAGAATTATTGAAACAGACTGAAATGTTAAGTTGAAATTTCGGTTGTCATTACTGAAGCCTTTGCAGGAAGAAATGTTACCTGTGAATTACAGATTTTTTTTGTGTGTTAAAGTTTTTTTTGGTAAATTCTTTCGTGATCGGTAAAATCTGTTGAGGTCTTCAAAAAATTCACAGATAGTGAACTAAAAATAGGGAGAGTAATTCACATAGCATAAATTTCCATGAAACATTGATGCAAGATCACTGTTTAAGTCAAATAGTTTTGAGTAGAGGTGAGGGGGGAGCCTGTGAACTGTTTCATACCCCGCTCAATCCACCCACGATAATGGTATAAGTAGAGCCCCTCCCCCTCCCTCCCCCTTTCTCATCATGCCTGCCATAACACAGGGATAAGTCATTAGTATTAAAATTATTGACTGTCAGTTAATCAGGTTTTATCTTATAGAAGGGGATACCTCTAATTGAGACTGACTGGCATGGCTGCCATTGCTTGTCTTAATTATGGTATTCCTACTCCATCCTACATGGAATACCAGGTCCTTTTGGGTTATCTTCCAGTATTTTCTTAGGTTTCCTTGGCAATTTGCTATTACCCATGGGTACCTCCTGGTGAAATCCTTTCAAAGTGAACTGTCTTGTCCTAGAACACAACTTATTGCCCTGGCTATGTCCTGAACCTAGACTGTTGAATCCAAAGTCCTTAGCAAAGACTACTACACTGTCTTTGTGGCCCATTCCAATGAATGATTTACTTATGAAAGTCCAGTGCTGGTTTATAATTCAACAAGAAATCCTCTTTGACATGTGCTATAATAACACCTGATCAGTGTGTGAGAGGAAGCACATGATTTTTATGTGACATTCTGAGAAATTAAACCTTTGGTGTGTTCTGAGAAACCCTAAGTGTTTTCTGACTAGTGTACTTATCACTACAACTTAGTAGGCCAATCTTAAAAGATTTTTCTCAATGGTTAAATCAATGAGCAACCGCCCTGAGTTAAAAAAACAGAATTCCTACCAGACTGATGCAGGGGTTATCAGAGAGCCTGTCACTTTCAGAGGTAGAAGGATCCAAAAATTGCGGTCAGTTCTCTCTGTGAATTCTACTAATAGATCTGCTAGAATTATCCCAATGTACCTCCGAGCTATGGATATGCGAAGACGAGATGATAGGTATCTGAAGCAATTTGTTTTTGTTGTTAGCACTTCAGGAAATGGCTTAGCTTAGAATTTTTCAAAGGTCTTATCTCCTCAAGCAAGCAACTGTTACCAAGTAGTTGCACAATAGTTCAGATTAGGGTTTTTATTGAATAATGTTGTTATTTACAAATGTGTATACCTCTATTAGGTGGTTGCCTACCATATAGATGTTTCTAGTTGTTGAAAAATTCGAAAATTCCTAAATCTTGCCTGTATAGGCCATCAGTATGAGTACTATTTATGGTTGAGTGTTGTTGCCATCTTTATGTGGTAGTGAAACTATCTCTTCATGTTATTGAGAGCTTCACTGCAAGTGAAGCATGTGACATCTTTATGCCCTTATGTGCCCTTTTGCTCTACATAATTAACCCAAATACAGGTCATTAAAAAAAAAAAAAATGTTGACCATGTACTTAATTGTCAGAAATTTTATGTTCTGTGCAGCTAACTCATGTAAAAATCTGTTTTTGGTGTTGAATACTTTCCATACAGCAACTTTTTTGTATTGATCTCCTAAAAAAGAAGTAAGGATCGTCATTAGCCTTCATGCAGTGTGCATGTATGTTGTGTGAACTATGTTGTAACTCTGCTGAAATGGCCAGTGCTTTCTGAGGCCAGATTTCCTTAGAGTCTAATTAAAATCATGGCATGGTACAACAAAGACAGAAAATCATCATCTTTTATTTATATGAAAATCAGTTGGTTGAAATATTCCAAGATATATATTTATGTGTAGCATCAATGGCATTTTCTTTTGTTCCAGAGATATTAAGATCTCTAGCACTTGTCCTTCAACAAAGTTATAGCGCAGCAGTCTGACAAACTTAAGTTCTACACTGTATGGCTTCCAGCTGAAATGAGTTTAATTGCTTTTAATTACCATTTGCAATCAATTTTTGTGCCATAAAGGTTAATACTAGTTTCACTTCTGTTTTCCCTTTTTTGCTAACCTTCAACACCCTAACAATAGCATCTTAATTCTTCACGCTTTTCCTTATACATTTCCTTTGGTACTGACAAGGAGAAATTGTCTAACAATGAAAGCTTCCAAGGCTGGTGATCATTTCCTTTTATCTCTTGGTGGTAAAGGATTGACTGATCGGTATAACTGTAAGGAGAAATTAGATGCTTGTCACAGCGAGAATAAGAAGGGTGAAGAAAGCAGATTCACAAAAAAAAAAACTTGCTTTGAACAAATATGTTATGTCTTTATGCATAAGAAATTCAGAATGCCCAATCTTGTGATCTTCATTTCTTAAGTTTGTCTATAAACCAAGGCCAGTCTGTCTCACATAAAGCTACATGCACATCTCTACAAAATTTTGCACTCTGATAGACTATCATTTTCACATCATTCACCAAATGAAGGGAAGTAAAACTCTTTATGAAACTCACCTTTTGTTAACTATCACTACAGAAGGAGCCAGTTGTTTATCATCTTGCTGGTCACTAGAAATGTTGTCAACCTAGAAACTCGTTATGCCTTTTATCTTGTTTTCCTGTTTGCTTTTTTGGACATGCCCATGAAAGGAGAACAAATAAATTGACTTGAGGGGATTCCTCTTCATCAATAGCACTCCCTTCAGAGAAATCAAATTACACTCTGCTAAATGTCACATTCCTGTAGTTCCTGTGAAAAATCCTTTGTGACAAGAGGTGGGGTGGTGTTGTCTCGTATATCAACAAAGAGGAAGGGTGTGGAGGCCTTATTTGGCATTACTGACTTGCGTTACCAACAGAAAATTAGCATTATTTTACATGTGGGGTCAAATATGACACCTTTACCCTACATAGGAAATGTTTATACAATGGTATGTGACTCTATGGTTTCCATCTATTTTTAGATCATTGTTTCAGAAGCATTAAAAGTAATGCTCTGTGCAGTTGTGGTTCAGTTTAACTAGACACTTGACAGAAGAAGTAATTTATCCATTCAACATTATTTCATCTTCATATTTATTTAACATATTTATACTCAAGGAGTAATATGCTAGGCATGACTACAGATTGTGTCACAAGCCATTTTATGGGAAGTTATCCACAGACAGAGGAACCACTGAAGTGGATTTTGACAAATAATTATTCCAATTCTCACAACCACAGTGACGTCTCATCAGCCCTTGGGTTGCTGTTAGATCGCAAGGATCCAATCAAGAACATGTCAACCCCTATAACACGGACAAATTTTAAACAACAGCTGCAGCGTCAGCAGCTGGAGCAACAAGATCAGCTGTTTCAGAAGCAGGGGCCTCCTGATTTGAAAGTACACTCACAAAGCATAGCAGTTCCCAGGACAGCATCTCCAACAACATTGCCGCCAGATGTTCCAAATAGTGTGCTACAGGTAGGAAGCAAACTTCAATTTTTTGGGCCTCCTATCAGAAAACAAAGACAACATGCAGTGCCTTGGGAAAAATAAAAGTAACTTGAACTTATATTCAGTTGCATCAACATAAAACAAAACTCTTTGATAGAAATGAAGAGAACTTATTTGATTAATGCATGTGTTTAATTCTTGTTTGCAATGAGCTCAGTTTTATGCAACTGGATTAAGTTTCCCTTACCGAAATAAACAGGAAAATAAGTTCCCTAAGTCATAATAATCTTGCATCATTAACATGAACACTTCCTTCTAATAGTGGACTTTGCACAGTGTTTTTCCTGTTAAATTGATTTAAAATATGGCTGGTGGTTTAACCCCAAAGGAAGCTATTTTCATGGCACAGGATGTATTTTTGGATTGCATACTGCTTATACAGGAAGCCTCTTTCCATTTTCTTGTTAATTTTTTTAAAACTCTCATAATTGTGTAGTCATGCAAGTACATAGTTCATATTGTTTCAGGTGCCCAAGATTTTCACATGCACAATTGTTAGAGAAGGTTTATTCTTTGATCATTGTGTTGTTGTCTACAGATATATAAATTCATTGACCTGTAAAAACACCCCTAAATTGCAAAGCTTTGTTTGAGATGTAAACACCTGTACTTGTTTTCCTGAATTGTTGAGTCCTGTAGAAACATGAGAGGGTAATCAAGGTGAAAAACAAAATAGGAGAAGCTATGATTTGCCTGGGCACACAGAGATAATTATTTTAGAGGGATTAAAGTGTAAAGTCCGTTTTGAATATTTATTTGCGGTCACATGGGTTTAAAAATTAGTATGTGTAGTTTTTATATGAATGTGTAGCCTTGATTATAAATTTATTCATTCAAATACAGTGAAGAGTCCAAAGATTAGAGCTGGATTTACACGTGTATCTTATAAACCTGATATTTACTGAAGCTTGACCTTTTGTGACCCTTTGTGTCTGCACTTTTCCTTTTAGGGAGGTGGATTTCGTAGGGACAATTCAAACAGCCTTTTTTTTAGAATAGGTTGTTAAGAACTGTTGTGTTCATGAAATTCTTGTTCAATTGATTTAAAGGGAGGGAGGTAACAAGTAACTATTTTCAAAGAGCTCTAGGTTGTTTCAAGAATACCTTTGCATGGTAATGCTAATTTTTGGTATTCTGTTACAATTGTGTTGAGAGCAATGATAACATTGAAAAGGTTCTCAGAAAGTATGAATGAAACGTGTTCAATAACCTTGGTGTCTTCATTGCAGGTCAAAACACAGTTGGAAAATCCGACTCGCTATTTCATTGCACAAAAACAGAAGAGACAAGTGAAAGAATATCTTAAGAATCAGGGATCACCGTCTTCCGCTGGAGAGTTGGCGATTGTTAGCAGTGCAAGCCAGCCCACCCTCAATGCAATTAATCAACAAGCTGTGGCTGCCTTATCTGCAAGTCGACTCATGGGACAACCAGAGAGTCCAATGGCTGTTATGAGTGGGGATGGAAACCATCCTAGCGAAGTGAGTGATTATAGAGATATTTAGATAAGTTTTTGATAAAGACAATCTGGTTTTTGTTTTATTTTTTTTTTCTCTCCCTGTAAGAAAAGGATTGCATAACTGAAAATTGACCCATCACTCGGAGGTCCTCTTGTTTTCAAAGTTAAATAAAGGGTTTTTAAATACCCTTACAGATGATATAATAATTTTAAGGTTTGCAGTAATGTCTAGTTTTTGCCATGCTAATTATGTTTTTACCTTTTTCCCCCTAAAGGTTGATAATTTGCTGGAAGACATTATAAGGTGTGTACGATTGCTGTTTTTAGTCTTATTACCAGAGAAAACATTGACTTAACCTGCATTAAATCTATTAATTCTATAGGAAATATGTGTATCTTAAAATTTTCATGATCATTATTGAGTAAGTTTTAAACAAGGAATTGAAGAAATTAATATTTTGACCTTTTTATTGCAGTCTGGAATCAAATCCTGTTGAAGATGGTCTGCCATGGGACCCAAGTCTCCAGTTAGGCTCAGTAAGTAACAAATAACTTCTTGAACTCATAGTACATTTGTCTATGTAAAGTTAGATTTTGCTGTCAATTTTTTCCACCCAGATGAAATTTTGATATCTAATGTTTGCCTCTCTGTTCTCCTCAGGTTCCTCAGGTTGCAACAGGCAATGTGTTTGATTTGTACAATGGTCTGACAATGAACACCATGGTAAGATATTATTACTATGACAAAAATGAGTTATTTCAACTATTTTAGATTATTATTTTGGAAATTTGGTTGCTCATACGTAAAACAAAGGGATTATATGAAGGGTTCAGTAAAGTCCGTTTTATAGTTGTGTGTTCACATGTAGTTGTGAATCCATTTGTAGAAGTAAGCTCAGAAAATAAATGTGCTTCTTTCTTTTCTTTGTAGATCCAGGCCCCTGCTGCATCATCTTGCCCTGCAATGATAAAGCAAGAGCCACAAGGTGAGATTTGAATAGGTGACTAATGGAATTAGTTAGGACTTAAGATCTGGTTTATGTACAGACATAGCAACAGATGTTCAGTTTTCTCAGTGGTATCTTAGTATTTTAGCCTTAAACTCCCACGAGTGACCAAGACAGAATTTATCCTTACCATATCAATAAAATATCAAGGAGACAAGAGTTAAGAATAAAGGTAAAATATTTAAATTGAAGGACAAATCTTAAGTTTTATTTTTGAAATTTTTTTCTCCAGATTCAGTTCTTGACCCAAATTTTGCTAAAGACAGGCAGAAGAAAGACAACCACAATATGAGTGAGTATTTTTTAAATTTATTCTGCTATCTTAACTTTCACTATGATGTACTTTCAATACTTAACATATCTTCTTGTTAGTTATTTACCTTTACATCACAAGCACTATTTTTATTTTGTTGAAAAGTAGGTCCGTGTTAAATAATGTTATCACTTTATGTGTTTTCTACAGTTGAGAGAAGAAGAAGATTCAATATCAATGACAGAATAAAAGAACTGGGAACTCTTCTTCCAAAGCAAGATTCGTAAGTAGAGTTCAATCCTTGGAGTCTTTGTGTAGTTATTGTCGTTCTTTGAGAGCAGTCCAAAATTGGTTTAGAAGTTGCTCTCACTCTGATAGATGGTTTCAAGTTTGCTTTTGTTCAGTTTTTATCGATACATTGGCTGGTTAGAAGAATATGTTTCAGTCTCACTTTTGCAACAAATTCTTAATATCTTTCTCAGTGTCTTAATTCTTCATTAAATATTTTCTTTTTTTTTGCCTCTTTGTTAGTAGTGATGTGAGGCAAAACAAGGGAACCATTCTCAAGGCTTCTGTGGATTATATAAGGAAGTTAAAGCGAGAGCAAGATCGCATGAGGCTGCTTGAGGAAGAAAAGAAGAACACAGAGGAAATCAACAGAAGACTTTTGCTCCGAGTTCAGGTATAGTAATGCTACAGATAAAAGTGTTGGTTCAAATTTTATACTTGTAGAAGGGGTAGAGAAGAGTGGAAGAAGCCAACATCAACATTGTTGTGGTCAGGTATCCCCAAATTAAGTTTCTCCTTGAAGGGGCTTGTAATGTCAAGCATCCGACAAGAAACTCAGATTTTAACTTTGTTACATGCTCGTCTTTGACAATGTTTCCTTAGCTGTATAAAGTGTTGGAGAATGTGATCGCTATGGACTCGAAACTGATTCAGTTCAGGCTGGGGTATTTACAAGTTCTGTTTTGTGAATTTTCAGGAGTTAGAGATGCATGCTCGGGCACATGGCATTCCCACCACCCCTCTTACTTCTGACACAACCACAGCACTGTTATCCTCCATTTTAACAGTAAAACCTTCAGGCGAGGGAGTGAAAATTAAGCAAGAACCCGTGGACAGTGGTTGTTTATCCAATTCATGCGGCCATGAAAACCAAGAAGCAATGGAAGACTACTCATTGCCCTCTTCATGTAACCCAAGCCCTCGCTCAAACAGTATGGATGATGATATGACTGATTGAGCTGGCAAATATTCTCTCTGCAATAAATGGACATGCTTATCTGAAATGCAAAGGGCAGAAGGTCAGCACGCCTGTGTTTTATTATATGACCTCTTTCTTAAGGCCTTGAGGAGTTCAGAAAGTTGTCGAGACGGTTCTTTACCAAGAAAATATAACATCGTGCAGCCCTGCAGATGTCCGAGATAAAGATATGCAAGTGTGATCCAATTGAACATCATCCCAGTAGCTATGGTATCAGTTAGCAACAAATTAGTCCAAGATGTTGACAAGTAACCACAAGATGTCGCTGAGAAGGGAACTTAAGTATTCTTAAGGACATCTCTATCTTTACAGCCACTTGATAGTCTTGGTGTCTATACTAAAGCTTCAGCAGCAGATTAGTCCAAGATGTTGACAAGTATCCACAAGATGTCACTGAGAAGAGAACTTAGTATTCTTAAGGACATCTCTATCTTTACAGCCACTTGATATTCTTGGTGTGTCTATACTAAAGCTTTGTCCTTTGCTAGGCAGGAAAGGGGGGGGCAGGCTTTCAGTGAGTTCGGCAGAGTGGTCCTATTAAATACATGGACCTCTTTGGACCATTTCATGGGCCATCCTTGGCTTGTAAAATTCTTGGGGCTAATTTTGATGATGAAACCTTGTTATTTGCAATTTATGTGGTGGTGATTAAATTGCTTATTCTTTTCATTTCCTGTGCACTGGAAACTAAAGGTAGCAGACTTTTGAAAATGTTTTAAAACAGGACAGTTGTGCCAGACTTGTACTTTTGGTCTGATATTCAGACAATAATGTTTGTGATATATGTTAGCCACCTGCAACTAAATGGTACCATCAAAATTTTCCCTGAGAATTTTGCATATTTATGTTGGAAATAATTGACATCACTTCATTATGTTACTTACTGGTTACCCGTACCATCACAAGGCAGGGCTCTTATGTGTGTTTCTGTGTTCAGTAATGATCAAACTTAAAATTCTCCAACATACATTCATAATAAAATTATATGAAGGAAAAAAAAGTAGTCCTACTGTGAAGCAGTTGTCAGAGTTTCACATCCAAAAAAAATTTTCTTAAGATGCTTAAACATGTTAGTGAATGGCAGTGTTTTGAAGGTCCATTTTAATTCATGTCGTTTTATCTTGCATATATTCAGTATTTTAGCTGGGATTTTTTTGTTTACTTACATATTTAGAACAAGGAATTAGTTTTTCAAAGCTCTAGATTGTTGACCCAGAAGTTCCAGTTGCAGTGAACAATTTCCTACTTTGAATTCTCACAACATTTTTGTAGATAATTCCTTGAATGATGACCAATTAAAATCAGCTGGTTTTCGAGATTGACTGAAAGATTCTTTGGTTTTTATCAAACATGTTCTGTATGTGTTCAGAACACTGTTTGGTCACTCCAGTTCTTAATTTTGCTTTGGAGCATTAAAACAGGAAATTCTATTGGGGCATGAGTGTTTTCCACCCATTTTTAGTTTGGAACAAAACTGATTCGAATTGGAAAGTGTTTATTAACTTAAGAGTGAAGTGTGTAGTATTTTTTTTAATTTTATGTAGAGCCAAATCCTCACAACCTGAGCAATGTAAAATGTTTGAGAAAGAGTGAGGAGATTTTCTATTTCAGCATAGGAACTTATGCTGGTTAACCAAACACTGTACATACTTGCTTTTTGGCAAAGCTGCAGTTTTATACGAAGGGGGCTTTGAATGTTTTGTTTTTCTCTTTTTCTGTTTTACACGACTATACATGCATGATAGTTGGAGAAATCAGATCATGCCCGTTTTCTTTAAATCGTTCACGGATGTTTTAAGGAATCACTCGCTGCATCTGTCAACAGGGTCAAATGCTAAATGATAATAGTCTTGAATTGCCATCTCAGCACTATTAGAGAGAAATTGAGGACAGTCTATATTTAGTGATTTTTAGGGATGTGCCTGTGGGGCAAGATATATAGTTTATTTGGATAGCATTTTAAATATTTAAATACAAAATGGTAGTTAAAAGTTTTTATCGAAAGGAATTAATTTGAGCACTTGTGTTGGCCAAATTGGTTGAAGTTGTTTGGCTTTATAGTGCAAGACGTGAGTCAAAAAAAAGAATTCAATGAATAGATAAGTGTAAAAGTAAACAAAGGAGAAAAAAAACAATAAACATTTGTGTTCTACGTAGTTTTAGTCTATTTTTTTTTTATGGTGGAGTTTTGGGCGGGGGGGTAACTAAGTGTAATCTAAGAGGAGGGAGGTTAATCAGGCGTAACAGACATGAACAGGAAGGGAGGAGTAGGGGAGACGCAAAACACGACCCAGACGGGGTACCGAGTAAAGAGTGGATTAAGGTCGCTTTTTATTTCTTTCATATCACTTGCCAAATATAATCTTGAGAAAAGTTCCCTTACGTCTATAGGGAATTCCCATTCTTTAAAGTTGGGTTTCTTTGCAAGTAACTTGCTTCAGAGAAAAAGGCGGGTCAGGTCCGAAATGTGCGAGCTGTACATTTTAAAGACCCTCTGTCCATGACTGATCACTCTATTGCACAGTCCATTCTGCAACCGTTAATTCATAGTCGTCAGCGTACGGAACACTGCAGAGAGGCTTTTTCTCGGTAAAACTCAAATTGGTGAAACAATGGTCACTGAACCGTGAGAGATCTGGAAGTAACCTGTTCATAATGGTGTGGGAGGGGAGGGTGAGGATTTTGGATAATTTAGTGTAAGGTTTTGCGAATCTGACTTTTAAAGATCAGACCAAATGAGTGATTCTCCATACTCCATTACAGACCCAATAAGTTGGCACTATGAAATGTTTATCTTTCATTTTATTCTTGATCATTAAACTAATACAATCTTCAGTTTTTTCTTTTTAACTTTTATTTGTCAAAGACGTGTTGTATTTTTTACCCCATTTGAAAGATGATTTAAAATTTAGTAACTATTGCAATGTAGGATATACTTGTAAACCTTGTGATACATGCTTGGCGGGTATCGTGGTAAAATTATGTTTTAGTTGATCCGATCTCGCTTCCTATTGGTTGAAGAAAACTTAACCATGACATTGATTGGTTAGACGAGATTCTCGCTGCCTATTGGTTGTAGAAAAGTTAACCTTGGCAATGATTGGTTAGAAGAGATTTTCACTTCCTGTTGTCTGTAGAAAACTTAACCTGGCACTGATTGTTTAAACGAGATTCTCGCTTCCTATTGGTTATAAAAACGAAACTTCCGCTCTTCAGAACTCTAAACTTTTTTTCCTTTTTTTGTAACCATATTATTTAAAGAACTTAGACATAGATAATGTTGCTCACATGCAGTAGGATAAAATACAAAGTTATGCACATAAATGATTTCTATATATTTACAGTCATTATGCAAAGTTATTCTTGCGAAAAAAAACTTAGCTTTCGGAAGGAAGCTTCGCCTTCATGAAATAAAGCATTGAATTTCTATTTCAGAAGGGTAGCTATCTAATACAAACAGCGAAACTTATTTTTGCGGACTAATCTACAGAACCAAGAGTTTAAAAAAATTAAAAAAAAGAAGTTAAGATAAATTTTCAAGCTAATGTCAATATAATTATTTAAGAACACTTAAACCCATAGTGAAGTAGCCACTCGCATTTTCCCGCGCTTCAGACAAACTTCCTGTTCAACCTTGAGTTCTTATTGGCTATGTGTGATATTTTCCGTCGCTCTACTGATGGCTACATCTTTTTATCACAACCCTTGACTTTTCTGACGAGCTTTACCTTACCTCTTCTGTACATCTCATATATTTCGCGATTTCATAACCTTCATACTGCCTGAATACTGATCAAATATTGAATTTTTTGCTTCTATCATCTAGTCCTCAATACAGCCGGGTCGAGGGAGAATAGCAGGTTCAAAATCTCTTCTTTTTTGCCCTGTTGACTGGAATTGTGCGTCAAATGTCTCCTGTGAACTAATAATGTGAGTTGAACGCGTTCTTCATTCGTAAGTTCTTGTTAAGTTAATGTCATATTTTCTCGGCACGCAGACATCTTTACTACGATCCACACGGCTCACAACCACAGGAGGACTTGAACCACTTTTGTCCGTCGAAGGTTTGATAAACACTGCATCGGTAGAATTTATTGAAGGATCGGCGTCGAAGTAATTGAACGGCCGAAGAAAGAACCTGGCCGTGTTCGTAGGCGTCGCAGCGTTCGGGATATCTTCGGAGCTCGGAATTTGGATACATCCAATAGAAACCCAAGCGACGAGATCTTTATCGGTAATGCCATTGTTGTCGCCAATGAAATTTTCGAAGTCAACGATGGGCGAGGTGGGGCTGTTCTGATTGTACACAGAGCTACTCTTTAGCTCGGTATCTTTAGAGAGGGTAACAGCAAGTGGATAATTCGACCACGGCGCCATCTTGGTGTAACGATATTCCTTCGGAAGAATTTGTTTCACGGCTGATATCGGTATAACAAGATATCCTCTTCTTACGCCAAACTTGTTTTTTTCATTACTGTGAACATTATAAAAAGTCGGCTTTTCGAAGTCAATGTTCTCAATCGCTGCTTCAAGCTCCAGTTTTAGCTGTTCTCTGCGGAATACCATTAGATTTTCTCTTTGCGGCGGAAGCCATTTATTTGATTTGTCGTCTTTGCTGATCGAGATTTTCTCAAAATAATTGGAGGTACCATAGACATCAAGATCAATTTTGTAATGGAATATGTAATTGTGTAAGTTTCCTAGCAGTTTGCTCTCGATATCTTCCCCATATGGGTCATCGAGGCTTGTTTGGCCGTTCTCTGTTTTTATGTAGCCGGTGGGTGTCGATTTTACCTCCACAGCGCCATTCTGATAGAACACAAAATCGAAGACGTTGTCATAACCGCGCAAAGTGGCAATGGTGCGAATTACTAACACATGACTGGTTATTCCTTCATAAAATCTGAATCGTTTTCCATTCGCTTCAAAGTGGCGCCTTAGAGGAATACCGCTGTCCATTTCAAAAACGCACACCGCATTCCTGACTACTTCCGGTTCGTTGGTGTCCACGAAATGCAGCGTGTCGAAAAACTTGGATGTCTCTGGACAGTCGACGCCGGCCACTAGTTCTAAAGATCTTCTACCCATTGTCCATCCACCATACACAAAATTGGCAACCCTAAAGTATGGGGAGTAGCCAGTGTAAAATGAAATGGCTTCCTGTAAGCTGAGTTCGTAGATTATTCTTTTGTCTTTAAATCGAATGTCGTAGAGTTGAGGACCTGAAACTGAATCCATTCGAAAGTCGAAGGTCCAACTCATGTACTTAATATGGTGACCGCTGACAGCAAATCTTTTCCCATCAGGCTCAAACATCCTCGGGGCTCGCCTGGAACTCTGGGATTGGGGGATTCCACGATTTTCGTATGATGAAAATAAAGGTGGTTTTGGCGCGGGGATGAACGATTTTTGAATACCTGACGGTTTATTATAATGAAATAAAAGGTCATCGACGGTGTGGTATGCGAATCCATTGTAATACACTTTGTCCACTTTCCATTTCGACACGTCCGCGCCAGCAAAATTTATGTAGAGTTGAAAATCGACTGGGTTCAGCGATTCCCCCTCTAGATCGCGAGTGAATTGCAGCCACGTTGTTCGTTCGTCCCTATCTTTACCAAAGGGTTCCTGTGGGTGAAATTTTAAGAGCCTGTTTGTACAGTTATTATAGCAGTATCCGTCATAACTGTCATTTAAAATCTTAAAAGCCTTGGTTGTGGCTTCTATAACAATCTTCTCTAAGGCTTTGTGTTGTACTTGATCATAAGGGCGAACGTTGAACTCAAGAGGATTGCCGCGTTCTTCGTACGTCATTTCCTTGACGGTGCTGTTCGGCCATGTTACAATGTACTCTCGGACCACTGGTAGGTTGGAATCACCTTTGAAAACAACAACAAGCGCTCTTCTGGCAGGCCGCGGCCTGCCTTTCTCTAAATAATCGAGGACTGCTTGTTTGGCAGGCGGGTACATCTGGATCATGAAAATATAGCTTTCATTCACAGATGCATTTTCAATCTTCTTTAGTTTCAATGAGGATTGTTTCAACATGAAATTCCTCGCAGCGATTAATTCTTCGCGGGAAAGTTCGTTAAAGATGTTTTGAGTCTTTGGTACTTCCCCAAATTCGAGGGTTTTTTCGGCGCACGAATTTGTTTCCGGGTTGTTTGGATATCTTTCTTTGTACTGAGTGAAATCTACCGCAACCACGACGAGAGCTATCAGCAAACCGACACACAATAAGACTAGAACGGTGACGGCAATTTTCCATTTGATGGGTACACCGACGCTTCCCTTCCCATTCATGACTATCGAGAGAACATGAAATTAAGCCATGATAAAATCGACCTTGGAAAAACACGCGAAGCACCTCAGGGTGAAAATTAACTCACTTAGTGTCCCTGCTATATTGTAATCCAAAGGCATAAATCACTGGAACTTTCGCGGGTTGAAAAATAATCAGCAACTTGGTGTTTAAATATTCATGTTTTTTTGTTATGATCACCTTTTTCTTTGGACCATCTGTCAGTGATTCATTCACTACAAATTTGCATGTTATGTAAGAAACAACATCAAAACGTCTCCAAGATTTGTTGGAAACAACACAAGGTGTTTGACAAAGCATAAAAAGAAAAGCGATAATTAAATCGCGTAAAAAATCAGATTCTTTTTCGGTCAACCACTCATTATTTATAGTTGTTAAAAACAAACTCAGAAAATGAAATTACATTTCGTGCTATGATTCAACTTCGTGTGGCGTGAATATTAAGTTTCTTTTGTGCGAGCTGATTTTTAGTGCCACTAGCGGAAAATTTTCATCGTCTGAAGTATTGAGTATTAAGCTAAAGTAATCGTCATCTTTATTTGCAGTGAATATGTTTTGGGTATAATGAATAATTATTTGAATCGCGCTAGCCAGACTGTTGTACAATTTCGGTAACTACCTGTCAACCAGGGCAGAATATAAATAGTATTAAATGGGGTTGTGGTATTTGCTCCATGAAAAACAAACACTCTGGCTTGTATTCGACGAAAAAATATATGCCGAATCTGATTAAATTTTGTATTTTTTAATGTATGATGTGGCGACTTTAGGCTATGGCTTAACTGAGTATGAAATTCGCCTCGCTTAGGTTCGATAACAAAACTGCTCTCAGCGGCTTCCATCAAAGCCTCGCGTTTTTTGTTTCCAATATTTTCTGTTTTGTTTCAGAACTTGAAATCCTTTCATAAGACGCATGACTCCCTAGACAACTTGAGTTTTTGAAATGCCTGGTCAAGTGTTATTAACGTAGAGAAGATGAAATGACTGCTTTGTATCAATTATGAAACATTTTATATTTCATGTTTTTGTATGTTGAGGTAATTTACGCCAGAACGGTGAACTGCGCGAGGATAACTGCCTCACAAGAATAAACTTTGTTTGTCAATCAACACCGAGTTATATCATGACATAAAATGGAATATTTATCGTTCAGAATATTTATTGGCAAACGCTTTATTTTTGTGTCGTTTTGAACAACAGTGCTCGCTTTATTATATAGAGACCACTGGAAGTTCGAAACTCCTGGTTAAAAGCGACTGTTGAATTGTAAAAATCCTTTTTCGATGGAGGATGGAAGACGATTCGAGGGATACATTTGACAAGTCTACCTTGGCATGATGAAGACAGAACACGGCGGGTGAAAATTTAATGGGGTGAGATAAGACCACCTAGGGTGTCACGCGAACACAACGTGATTGACGGCCACGTTTCGTTACCAAGCAACTTTGGGAGTTAAAACCGTGGACTCGTGCTGATCTTTGCATGACAGGGCTGGGGGGCTCTGGGGCTGCCTATTAGGTCGTGCTCATTCCCCCCGAGTCACGGCTCCCAGAGGATGCGCGTCAGGCGAAGACTCAGGAAAATTGATTGCTTTAGTGTGTCCATAGCCCTAAAAAGTGCGCAAATAAGATCTGCTAATCTTTTCTTACGATAATGCTAAGGGAGATTACAATCTTATTTTTCATGAAAGGATTTCAATTTCACGGGTAATCCTCTGGTCTCTCTATTTTCCTCATGTCCGATACCGCTATCTTCTTTTGCTTTTGCTGTTCATGTATTGAATCAGGAAAATCCTACAATATCTTAATTCATCTGACAAGCACATATCGCTAATTATTTCGCAGACGAAGACATGTTTTCAAATTTAAAATAGATATGAAAAATGAAAAGCTTAACCAAGAAGAGTTGATAACAAAAGCGGAAAAATAAAACACGAAAAATGGAAGTGATATAATTTGAATAAGATGCAACAAAATTTTAGCAATTTTCGATTCGAAAGGGAAATCATTCTAGGGAAAAAAGTCATAAGTATAATCGAAATTTCATGGTTCTTTTCCTATCAACTTTGATTTGCCAAGTTGAAGTTTCTGACAGCTTCTAAGGCCATTGTTATCTTAACCGCCGCAGCGTTTCTGAAGCCTTACCGCCGCGCGTTTTAATTTTGTCGTTGTATAGTCATTGAGGCTCTTAAGCATATTCAAATCTATGTCCAACAAAGGTGAATGTTAGAAATACTGTTTTTAAAATACCATCTGAGGGACTGCCGAGGGAAGACAACACGTGCGCATAGGTGACCTCCATTTTAAAGTAGGGATAGGTTATGTCTCACAGAGACAAAGTTGATTAAAACTCTAAAAACACATGCATTTTACAAGGATTGAACCATCTTGAAATTCAAAGCAACTGCGTTTATCCCGGAAAAAAAAACAGAGCAACCCAAAGCTTGTTAACTCACATTGCTTTGGAAAGAAGACCACTTGGAAATACTGGCTTTTGAAATTAACCCTGTTCTATCTTAAGCAACAGCTTTTTAATTTGATTTGCAATTGTATCGCTTTTGTTACCTAAAAGGAATCGCGCTTATCTTAGCGGCACGCGCGCAAGATCCGGTAATTTACGACACAAATCGAAATCTTTTCTTTTGTAAAGCAAAATCAAATAAAGTAGGCAAATGAAGCCTCTAACTTGGAAAGACCTGATTTTCAATTTCTACTTTTAGCTGCTCTTCGAAATTCGCTACGTTTCCTAAATCATTATGAAATAAATGGTGATATATCAGTGGCACTCTCCAGCTGATGAGTTTTTATATTCTCAAAGCTTGGTTGCAGTATGATGTCTTGCAATTTTAAGGAGAAGTTACTCTTTAATCACTCTGGGAGTCAAAAGTTTAAAAAGACTTAAGTCCATTGAATACTGAAGATAAGTCGCTAGGGTTTGTATTAAAACTGTAATTATTTCAATATGAAACGATCGATATAAAAAGGTAAGGGACGATTTCGTCGTTGACTTTACACAGCATAGACTCAGAAAAGTGTATTTAATTAATATTCTTGAAGAGGTCTTGCCACCTTGTCAAGAATAAACAAAACGACCAACAGACATGTAAACGCAGCTGACCAAACTTTGTGTGGAGAGCTTCTAGATCACCTGGCATTGATCCTCTAGTTTTCACATGCTCTGAAAAATGAAAAACAATACGTAGTACAGAAAATTAATGTTTTATTACGGGCCTGAACCTCCTCAAGTTCGATTCACTTTTGTCTAATTATCGGGATTGAAGCCTATCAGATAACGGAGCACGAGCTAAAATTTCCATAAAAATTTACCAGAAAACCCGGCCAGAAACTGAATTGATAATGACGAAACTGGCGAATAACAAAACCGAAAAATCGCTTACTTGAGTAATAGAAACTGGATACAAAACTTTTAATTGTAAGTTAGGTGCACAAACCCAAATAATGACGAGAAAACCCAGAAACCCTTCTTCCTCATTGACCCCAACAGCTACAGAAGACGTTTGAGCTATAATCTATCACTTTACTGATGGTGTCATGAGCAGATGATTTCAAATATAGCTCAATCAATGGTTAGCGGCAAAACTCGCATTTTAGCACCTCCATAACAACTTTCCTTATTTTTCTGTTTCGTACCCCGTAAATTAACGGACAAACGACACTGTCCATAAATATCAAGTAAATTCCCGCCATTCGGAGACTTCTTGGCGGGAAAACGCCGAACGCGTCCAAGGTATCCATGATAAAACATGGCAGCCAGCAAAAGCAAAACACGAAAACTATAAGCGAGACGGTTCGTGTTATATGAATGTCTTCCCCGCGCGTCTCTCTCGTTTGCAGCTGATGTGTACTTTCTTTTGCGTGCTCCGTAGGGGTTGAATTCTTGCTTAGGCAGATAGCATTTGATTGATTTGTAGAACTGATTTGATGGAGATGAAGGGTCCCTTCAAGATTATTTACAGTTTTTATGTCTTGTCTCCCTCCATTTAATGCACTCTGCTGTTTTTGTGATAAGAAAGTGAATTTCACGGGTATCACACCAGACCGATCCTCGCAGAGGCCTAGGTGTACGTTTGCGTGTAATTTTTTAGACTTCTGACCACTAAGTGAATCACTGTTCAAGTCTTTGAATAATAATTTATTGCTTTGTTTCGCGTTTGTATCCGCTTCTCCTGCCATGTTGAACTGGCTTTCTCCATCTTTTAGCTTCTTTGTAACCACATTTACTGTAATCCTTTTGCGATGACAAGTTACTGCTCTCACGATTTTTACATTACAAAAGATTACAATGATGATGTCCAGTAACATGAAAGTATTTGCGGTGATTTTATAGGAATAACTGCTGTTGTCTGTGTGACACAGAGCCGTCCGCGCGTTGAAACTGTAATAACCCCATCCAAAAAGTGGCGGTGCACAGCTCAAAGTACAGATAATCCAAATGAAACCGAGAATCTTCAGAACCAGCCTTTTGTCAAATAGTTCCCGGTATCTGTTGAGATGACAGACCAGTATATAGCGACTTAAGCTTATTGCAGTTAGAGTGAATAAAGTAAGGGCAAATAAAAGATAACTCTGATATCCTTGAATGACGCAGAACATCTTGCTAAAAGTCCACTTTCCTCTTTGAAGAGTCCACACAAAAACCGGAAGGATTGTAACAGCGAGAAGAAAGTTTCCAATAGATAAATTCATGACAAACAAGTTGGGTATAGTTCGAAGTTGCCTCTTCCCACACATGACGAAAATCATCAAGAAATTCCCGAAGGCAGCCAAAATAAGAATCGTGGTAGCAAGTGCAACTTCGATGAAAACTTGAGTTGAGTTATTCTAAAGGGGGAAATATGCCATTTTGTTTCAAGGGGTTTGCGGTGCAATTCATGTTGGTTGACGCCATCTTCACCCGAGCTGGTGTTTCACCAAAGTAAGTGATTCTAGGATTTATGTCGGCGAAATGAATGATATCAAAGATTTTGCTTTTCCAATTAAAATCTGGTGCATCTAAGCGCTCGAGAATAGTAAGTCGTGGTCCGAATACTCCTGCTCAATCACTGGTTCGAGCCGTCAATGACGAAAGCAGACCTGCGTTTGAAAATAACACCAGCAGTCGTATAGATGTGTACCCCAATGACCCTAATGGGGTTATAAATATTTAAATCAGGAAATAGAATTTACCATCGGTAAACACAATCAAGTTTTTCCGGAACGATCCTGCATTAATAAGGAAAGCTACATGCCATCTTTGTTATTACTTAAAAAGTCTGAGTTATCAACGAGCATTTTAGGACAAATTTCTATTTCATTTTCACGTGTAATGAATATAGTTCTATTTTGACAAGGAACAATACATGATTATCGAAACACTCATTTTGCGCCTTTTCATGTAAAATAAGTTGTTAGGGCTTTTGAGACAGACAGGAAGCTTTAAGATAATTGCACTTCGTTTCCAAGAGATGATCTGCAAAATTACTGCTATAAATGACTGTCAACCGCTATTGTGCCTTACGTAAACACACACACACGCAATTATAAAAATTTTGACCGTCAAGTATCGTTATAAGCTATTTTTTTCCGACATTCAAGAAAGAAATAGAAAAGAAAAGAAACCTACAGGCAAAGAAATAAATCAAGTTGAGCTTTAAAATTGTAGTGTTTCTTTTTATGAGTATTGCTCGAATCTCGCTTGATTGGAATCTTATTATAAAAGCATTATTTAGTTCTTCGCCGAAATCAATTGCAGCACGTCCAATTTGCGTAAATGCTAGACATTATTAGCTTTTAATTTATACATAATCTAGTTGTTGATGACGCTGGTGAAAGTTTTCGTAAACCTGCGACGTGTGTCCTAAATTTGCGCTTGAACAAGAAAAAATTTCATCTTATTATAGAACTGTCTAAAATAATAATGAAACAGTCATGACTCAAATAAATGTGGTTTCTTCACTTTCCGTTTCGCTTCATTTTGTTCTAGTAAGTAAGTAAGGAAGAAACCTTTATTTCAATAGGGTAGCTCCTGCAGTTTTTGCACAAGATAAAAACTGCTATCCATTGAGGCCCTACATATCGTGATAAACTAAATTGACTGGAAATAATAGTGATACCCAAGTACATTTAAAAATAGCTATGAAATGTTATTCAAAGGACTTGAATTCAAAAAGACATTAAATTACAAGAAAAATCATAAAAATCTTAAAATCTGATTAAAAATTACAAAGCCATGATAAAAAAAGGCTTTTTTTTGTACATTCTAAATTTATAGACGGAAGTCTAAGTTTACCACTGCTTCTTAATGTTCTGGGAAATACATCTTTGTTATAATTAAAGTAGCGCATAACGACAAAGGAAGGACTAGAGAGGAAAGCCACTGCACTTGATGTAAAGAATAACGTTAGTTACACTATACGTACGATGCTTGGAAACAATGAAGGTCACAGCACAAAAGTAGCCATGCATATGGTTGCTGGGCACAACCTCTTTTATACTATTACCTGAGTGTCGTAAGTAACGCAGGTTTTTAATGGGTTTTGCTTCATCCCGCTCTATGGAGCAGGTTTCAATTCAGTTTCGTAAATCCAATACCACGGTTATCACAAAGGCTCATAAAAAAAAGGTTCACTTCGTCCTTAGCCAACGAGAATTTAATGAAAAATCAGGCAAAGTGCAAAAAGCGCGGGAAGACGGGGATGACAAATCGTGATTCGTTTTCGATTTACTTCTGATTGGTTGAGAGGATGATGTGAGTTTTCTGAACCAATCACAGACATTACTTGTCGCACTTAGCATACTTGGTAAAGATGGTCGAAGGGCATGGAGACCCAATGATGCCTGTTATTCCTGTCAATAATAGCGGAGCTCGCAGAGCGTAGCCCCATAATTATACAAAATAGTAGTAACCCATCAAGCCGAAAAAATTTGGACTTATGACCGTACGACCGACCGTACAAGATGCTACTTTTGACATGCGTGGTCAACTGTACCGCGGGCACACCAACGCCACGGCTTTGTCCAGTAGTCTAGTGGTCAGTGCACTGAGCTCCGAGTCGGACGACCCGGGTTCTAGTCCAAGCCGGGGCAAGGCGTTGTGCCCTAAAGGTTTGCGGGGACAAAAATGCGAGCTCCGCTTTTAGGCTTGGCTAAATCTATATATTATTGATAATAGTAGCAACAATACTGGTGATGTTGATAAAGACGAGAATGAAAATGATGCTTTTTCTTTCAGAGTAATAAACTTCAAGCTACGTACAGCTTTATTCATCCTAAAACCATCTTTCACTATAATCAGCAGGTGATTTGAGTAATTATGAACGTTTTCAAATAAGTTTGCAACTAACACACGGACGATCCACTTAATTCATTAAACGAGGTAAATTTGATAGACATTGACCAAGCCAAGATAGATATCACTATTCCCATGCATTTGTTTCGGAACAAAAATCATACAATCCGAACGGTGCGATCACCGCTCCAGAGAGCTTTCAATCACATTTGGGTCGCTTTAATGCCATAGACCTTGCTGTTACCAGTTATTTTGAACGCATTGTGATAAATAGAAGTTTATATAATCAGCCATTTCTCCCCTAGGAAGTAAAAGAATGACTTTATTAAGATTCTACTGATTAAACTTTACCCCCTAAAGTGACAACCCCTTTCAAGCGACTACTTCTATCTGGAAATGAAAATAGACATTCTCTCTTTGCAGCGATTCCAACAACGTGAAATATCACAAGGAGAAGGCGAGACCTAAAAGCGACAAAAAAGGTTGAACCACATAGTTGCGGGGAAAGTTGATTGAACAAGTCGTGATATCATTCACATTTCTACCCGAGTGATTAAGAGGAAGAAGCCTGTTTTCCCAACTATCCGGGGTTAACTGCTGAAAATATTTTTTATTTGCGATAATTAAAAGTGTAGCAGCACTCAATAAGATCCTTAAAGACTTAAAATATTCTCTTTTGATGAGCAAAGTCTTAAGCGTGCTCCTTTTTGTTTCATTTGCTGCTAGCGTTAGCCGCATGCCTCTGGCCGTCGATGAGATTAAATTCATTCAAAACGAAACGGAACACAAGATGGACTAATAAAAATTTTTAATTATTCACGGTCGGTGTTTCTAGCACAGGAGATGTTATAACAAAAAACAATGTAAAGTTTGCGTTGCACCTGTCTCATGTTATTCGACGATTTATCACATTTAGTTAAGAAATAGACCGCGAGTCTATTTGTTTACCGGCTTAATACAACGTTTGTAAAAGTTAGGAGAACACGAGAAAGGTTTGGAAATCACGAACCGGAGGCTTTTCTTGTGCGCGTGGGTCATTGCGTGCGGTCTGTTGCTCTTGTAAAATAACTTTGGTTATAACCGGTTCAAGAAACGAAAGGTCTCTGACCACTCAGGGCATCTACTATATTTCAGTTATTTTGTAACAATAAATATTTGCAATACCTGCTGCGTTACATAAGTGACGACTGATGCGATAAGTAGATAACAAATAACTTGACGGCCACTTGTTCAAACCGGCACTAACGTGGAAAACGAATAATGTACAGTTGTTCATGAGTGTTAGTGTCCGACTGAAGTATCAAGTATCATTGACTGAAAACCTTCTTCCTCGCCATGCTTTTTGCTGCCTTTCTATTTTCTCTGTTGGAATGGTGGCCTCATTGCTGCTTTGGTGAAAATCAAGGTGAGGTAGCTACTAACAATTCAATATTTGTCAAAACGTTTTTGTCTTTAAATCGTACAGCCACAGCCTATCTAACTACTAAGGGTCGTTTTCCTTACAGGTAGCATAAATGCTTATGTTCAAATGAAGTATTCAGTGTGTCTTTTTAAACGCATGCAGATTTGCGATCGAGCGAAAAGAAATGAAAATTTCAAAGTTGACGAAGATTAATTCCCATTGTAAGGAAAGTCTCAAGTCAGTTCCTTCGTAAAGAAGTTACAGAATGTTTTTACTGTGGGAGCCCATTTCTACCCAATTTTTTTATCGATCTACCAAACTCGTTAAATTTAAGGCCGCAAAATTTCTATGCTGCACAATAATAACAAATGATATGAACACCTATTTTTTTTAATTTAGGTGTTTACTTCATCATAATATAATTCTACAACAGAAAATAAAATATGGCTGGAAATGACACGATTATTCTGGAGTTAAAATAATTTATGCACTGGTAATGGCAATCTCAATTGCCAACTGTTAGATGCATGAGAATCCTTAGAAAGTAGAGATTTCGATCAACTCCCTCTTTTTTTGAAGCAAAAATCGTCGATGTACGCGGTAGAACGCTTAGCCGAGGTAAGGATACTGGAGTGTCTGGAGTGGCTTATGCCAATTTTATGTCTCACACCTTTTCGTATCTGAACATCACTGGTATTGCTTCGAATTACGTTATGAATGGTGGCGAGTGTGGATTTGCTTGTGTCAACACACCGTCGTGTTTCTCCTTCAACCTGGTTTTAATTCAAGATATAGTCGGTAAAGTGCTGTGTGAGTTACTTCCATCGGACATGTACAACAACTCAGACAAGTTTGTATACAGCTCGAGTCACCATCACTATAGTATCAGGGTGAGTGTTAGATTTAAAACTTCACATTGCTTCTTTTTGAGTTGAATTGCGTCTGGATTAACGATCTTTTGCCATGAACCAGGCCTAGAAAGGATCGATCAGGTTTCATTCATGCCTTTCATTGCTGCTCCTGTGCGCAAAGTTGGATATGTTGTGAGTAGAAAAAACATGTACTACCAAATATGTTCATCTGAATAATTATCTTTTTATTCTTAAATTCTCTAGTCTCCTTGTATCAGTTCGCCTTGCCAAAACAATGGAAAGTGCGCCGCACTATACGAGAGGAACAACTACACGTGTGATTGCGTGAATGGCTACACAGGGAAACATTGTGAAACTGGTAACACACCTTCAATTTAACGTTCAATCTGTAAGACTCTTTCAATGTACATTTTCCTATCGATGGAGGACTGAAATACTGGTCGTTTTGGGCTTTTTATCAAATATTTCATTCTTGTTACTTATTTCCTCTGGACCATTTCACGTCTAGTTGAACTTATTTTCTTATGATTTTCAGTCGTTTCGATTTGGACTCTTATCGCTCGATTTTCAAATGACGACACCAAGAACTGGATGGCTGATAGCGGCTATTGGTGGTACGACAAGCAAGTTGCCATGGGGACAACAAGTAGTACTACTGAAAACGCCGACATGATCTCACCCGCCTTTTGGTTGACCAGCGGAAATGAGCTTAAAATCACGCGCAGTGATGACACCAATCACATTCCCCTGTTACAGACCACAGGTAACTGTTTGACCGGACAAACATTCCGATCTAAACTCAAGAGTTATGGAAACTTTAGAAACGGCACAGTTTGGGCCAGTGACCAGTGTTTAGGAAACTGTACGGTTATATATGGCGGACAATATATGTCAACAGACGGGTTTCAACAAGCTGAGTGCAACGGAACCATCCAAAGTCTCAACAAGATTGGCTTTTGGTGTGATTGGAGCTCTGGTGATGGAGCAGTGATGATGATTGGTGGAGGAGGAAGTAAATGTGATCGTGCAGATCACGGGATTGGAATTACAGAGGCTAACGCTGCTTCGTTTGTAGATGGGGGCACAGATGAATTTGACTTTGGTTATGACGCTAATACAGGAAAAACTGCATCCCAGTCCTATGCGCTGAACTTGTGGATTCGTTGAGTTGATGAATTTTCTCCCTTTTTTATATGAAAAATTTTAAAATTCCAAACAAATTTTGATCCGTTCAAAATGGTTGAATTTAGGGACAGACGCATAGATGATGTCACTATAAACAGCATTTTGCTTTGCCTTTATATCAAACAAATAGATTCTAAATTTTCTAATGTGGTAACATGGGATCTATTTGTGAAATTGATAAAGTCGTTTAAACCTGCAAAATGTGGGAAAGGGCAGTTCAACCGTTTATCGACTGACGATCAACGTCAGATTACCAAGAGTCATTAAAATCACTAGAATAGTGTATCCTCTACCATTTAAAGCGCCACCCAAATCCAAAACTGACTTTTTTGCTTACATTTTTGCACTTTATAGCTTTGCCAGAATAGAATAATTTCGTGCTTCACACCAGTAGGAACTTCCTTAACTTCCACGTACACAATTTACTATCACCCCAAATGCAGGTATTGCGTGAAAGTTGTTTATAAAATTCCAGACAACCCAAACCTTTCCCCAGTTCTCTTCAAATCATTACCTAACATACGAGGAGGTATGCTGTACCATTAGCCATGAATTATAAAGTTAATTCAAGGGAAAGATACTATAAATAAAAACTGATCATATCCGAAGATCTATTGTTTGAACCATAGAATTCAGCATTTTATAGTACTCCAGAAATTAGAAGGCATGATCAGATTAAGCTTAACCAGTTAGGAGAACTTATTCAGCCCTCGATGATCCATGGAAAAGAAATCGACCTGTCTTTACCATATCATTCACTGTATGGCCTGAACATGAGGTTTCCATTTTCCCTCAAAGTTCTCGCTTACAGCTTGTTTTTCGATGGTTCCAACGCTGATCAGAGAGTAATCTGAGAAGCTTTTCCTCGTTTTGTCAATTGAATATCATTTTCCTTGGCTCCACTGTTTTGGCTTCCTTGGTTTTCTTTGCTTTACGTTACTCGTGGACTTGACAGGTTCTTGCATGAAGTTTGAACCACATTTTCGGTCCCTAGACGTACGCGATGCAAGCCAAGAAAACATCAAACCTTTTAAAGTCAGTTTCTGTCAATTTAATGATTTCAAACTGGACTCAATACTCTTCCCGTCGCTAAGAAAGAACTCTATGCCGGAGTAATAATTACCGCCAAGGATCAGTAGTCATTACTTTAGCTGATGCAGTTGATAGCCTTTTCTTGCCATCCTCGATGATGTAACCCTACCCACCCTACCCCCGCATACAACACATAAAAAGTCGTAAAACATAAGTCACGTGAAAAAGTAACAAAAGTAGAACAACGAAACGAAACAATGAGGTGTTGAACAAGTTGTCACTACATATTTTATTTTTAGTAAGCGAATTTCCACAATAACAACTCAGATTAAAAACAAAACTGAATGAAGGCATAACATGGCATAATCACTTCTGACATAAATTGTCTTAATTGATCGAACACTAGGTCACCAGTTTGTTCGGACTGCGTTCATTAAATTCGGAATGGAAATTGGGATACTTTGCTAAATGTCACATCAACTTCTAGCGGGATGGAAAAGAAAACCTTATGCCATAAAAACGCTTTAAAATAACCACAATGTCTCTAATTTGAGACTTTTATTTGTATAAGTTTATAGCTGAGATGACATTCTCTTTGTAATATTTGACAGCTAAATAACCTTAAGTTAAAACTTGTTTACAACTTTCTATATAAATTGACTTCGTCTCAATTTGTTAACAGGTGTAGAGTGAACATTCACAGCTAAATTAGAAATGAAATTATTCAGTTCTTGCAAAATAAGCGTTTTATCATTTTTCGAATTTCTCTGTTTCTTATCCCGAACGTCATTGGATTAATGACGAGATCGAGAAACATCATGTAAACGCCGAACATGCGTACTTCGCGAGACACGGAAACGCCACGTGATACGAGAATATTAAGGGTGACATTTGGGACCCAGCTCAAACAGAAAAGGAACACTATCACCGATACGGTACGGGCGATATGGATATCCTCTCCTCTGAGCTCGGTTACATGCGGTTCTGTTGTGGCTCTGGAGGGCCCTGGACGTGGCACCTGCTTTGGGTCCTCATCTTGGGACCTGTTGTTTGGTACCGCGATTCTTCTTCTATGGCGACGAACAACTTGCGCGATTTTGATGTAGCAGCCAATGATGAAAAGGATGCAACAAGAAATCACCACATAGTTGGTGATACGAAAGGAGATGTGAGCCTTTTCTGAGATCGAGCAAATTGCCTTGGAGGGAATAAACTGATATTTCCCCCATCCTAAAAACGGTCCACTGCTCAAAAAAATCGCTAAACACCAGATCAACACAATCATAAAGATGACAGACGTCTTGAAAAACACACTTCTATACTTGCTAGGTTTGACTATCTTGAAATACCGATTCACGCTGATCGCAGTGAGGTTGAAAAGGCTAACGGCAAACAAAGCAACGTCGAGGAAAGCGTAAAAATTACAGAGCTTCTCTCCAAAACTCCATTCTCCTCTGATGATGGTGATGATCAGCATCGGAAGCTGCCACAGTGCCAGTAACAAGTTCGATACGGCAAGGTTTACGAAAATCGCATTGGGAATGGTACGGAGGTTTGTCTTTTTGTACACCGCACAGCAGACGATGATGTTTCCTGAAACTGCGCATATGAAAAGCAGAGCGACCAAAGAGACCTCGACAAAGGTTTGTGTTTGAGTTCGGACGGGTAACAAAAAAGATGGTGTTGCCATTATAATAATTTTGCAAAACTTCCTTGAGTCAAAATTTGTTGTGATTCTCGAAGCTTTTAAGGCGCAGGTGTTTTATCTGTGAAAGCTTAATGTTTTCGTAGATGCTATTTCTGTAACATAATGAGACCATAGGTAGACAGGCGTTATATCGAATTATGACATGACTGTCGTTTCTTTATGAGAAGAAATGAAAATTTTCGTGTTTGCCCTCGCAATCGTATTCAAGGCATAAAAGCAAACTTGGTCATCAGCACAAAACCCAGTAATCGTATGATAAAGCAACTGGAGGAACGTGCAACTTCCTGCATTTTTTACCACACATCCTGTTGCCACCTTTTCTGCATTTATGTAATTGATAAAAACTTTGAAAGAACTTATTTGGCGCCTACTCCCTGACGCGCACAATTAAGGGCTTTGTTTCATTTTTATTGTTCAATTTCAGGCGCGCGCTTTCTTTCGCCACCGCCGCTGAAAAACAGCTTAAACAACGAAAACACTGTAAAAAGCACTGCTTTTTGGTTGTCGGTTTGGAAAAAGTGATGTTTAGAGAAGGGAATTGCCGAGAAAATCGAAAATTACGAGCCGACCCAGCTTAACACTTTGCTCGAGCGATCCAACGCCGAAATTAAGAGCGCTTGTCTGTAAAAAACAGACAAATTCTAAATTTCGCGGCAAGGGTGAAAAATTCGATTTCTCTCTTATTTTAATATTGGATAGGCTAGACTATAACTAAAATCACTAGATACTTTTTTTGGCAAAATGTCTTTTTATTTCAGAGAAAAATACAAATAAAAAAATTCTGTTAAAATCGTCATTTTTAGCTGCAAATTATTGCACAAGTTTGAGGGCTTCGCATTCAAAAACGAATCACAATCTCGTCTTTTTAACACTCAAATCTTCTTTTTCAACCTCATAATGCACTAGTCAGTGGAAAGCCCCGCACCCCCATACCCGGGGAATAGCGGGGCATTAGACCAGGCGTCCCAACAAAATGAAGCAAATTCCCCGCTATGCGGGGCAATTTCTTATGTCAAAACCTCATTTTTGTACTCCACCCCCGGGGCAATACTTGAAAAATCCCAAATACACAACGTTGACCAAAATTAATTTATTTCAAGAATTGTGCCTCAAATTTAACTCTTACAAAAACGTTTTCAATGTCTTCATAAAATAGATGAAACAATCATGGCTTCCTCTACTCCTCTTGGTAAGACATAGTTCTGTAAACTTAAAACACAAGGTTAAAGCCTTCAATAAGCTTTAAGATCAAAATCGATTAATGACTAGAAAATATAAGCTTATATTCATATACACATGTGGCCGTACCTATATTACTAAACATTCTCACCAGATGAATGACTGAGGTCTACACAATGGAGCGCCTAAAAGCTAAAATATACTGTATTATTCCATTAAGTTACACCGTCTGCCTTTAATATAAATATACTGAACTGATGTTTATAACTAAAAGGTGTGACGGAAAACTGAAAATCGATCCGATCCAACACAAGACTTAAAAGTAAATTGACACGCTGAGCACATTATAGAAACATATTTCAATGAAAAAACAAATACAGTTATTTAAAACAACAAATAAAAAACGCCCATTGGCTCGGTTTGCACAGTTGCAACGGAAATGAAAACAAGTGCCAAAAGACAAAAGGTCAACGCTCTAAATAAATCGCTAATCAAGCATGACGAGGGCATAAACAATACCCAACTTTTTCTAATTTCACTACAAGACATGATAATATTTAGAGATTGAACACAGAATTTAATCGATGGCCCATTACAAGCATGAAAAGAATGGATTTTAAACCGTACATACCTTCTTGTTGGCGGCCGCCATTTTGAGATCATACGCTTTCCCAGTGTTCTTTGCAGGCCTATTCAAAAGCGAAATCCCCGCCAAAGCCCCGCTAGCCCCGCTAACGGTCCCCGGTCGCTGTTATTTGTGTCTAATGTTGTCGAACACCCTGCACACTGGGGCAAAGATGACCACTAAAAACCGCTAAAATCCCCCGCTAATGACCCGCATTCCCCGGGTATGGGGGTGCGGGGCTTTCCACTGACTAGTGCATAAGACCTCACAAAACGATTTTTGTAAACACTGCATTCCTCTTTGTGTGTAAAATAATTTAATTTCGAAAGCATACATTTCTCTTCAGTAAAAGTACTTTGTAAGTAAAGTTAATTTTCAGCATGTGCTAAACCTTCAAATGAATTAAGCTTTGGGCGGTAGAATTACGAAAAGATGTTCTCAATATTACTATACAAATTTCTTTGGGCAAATGATTGAGAGCGATACGAAAGCTTTTCAAAGTCCGTTAAAATGCAGTTATTTGACCTTTCGCGGTCAACATTCCAGTTGCGAGTCACACACCTACTTTATTCAACCCATATGAGACCGGAAAATGTGGGTACACATTTCCAAATGCTCTAACCTCATTTGCCGTTATCCACACAAAAAGATGTTATTGAGCGGTAATTTTGGAACGGACTGAATCGCGAACGCTTGAAAGCCATGAAAGCATTGAATGCCTAGTATGTCTTGTATGCTAAGTATGCCAATGTCTTAGTTGAAAACGTTAACTCGTCGTAAAAAGCAAAATCTGAAATCTGAAACCAAACTGCATATACTCTATGCAATCTATTGAACAACACTACTATCGTGAGACTGAAGAACAAAATTCAAATGGATGCAAACTGCTTGTGAAGAAAGACGCCATGTTGGATTCACTTGATGCTGGGGAACGTGGCTACGATAACAGTGCGAATGGTATTAATTTCACGATCAGAAAGGTGAATCTTATGGTTTTTTTCATTGTAGTTGTATGGATATTCTTTTTTAATAAATTTTTGTGTATAATGTTATTATGTTAAGTATTGTTTACGCAATAGGCCATTTTACAGTTGTGTACTTAGTTGCCAAGCCTTTGATTTGGAGTGAGGCTGAAGGTGACCTTGTTGTGTTAGAGACCAGAATCTAGTTAGCATGATAACAAATTAATTTGCATTTCAAAAGCAGCAAGGTTTGTATCATAACAAGGTCACCCTTAGCCTCACTCCTGTTCAAAGGCTTGGCAACCAAGTAGACAACTGTAAAATGGACTATTGTCTTGTCACAGGCGACCCAAAGTCACGTCTCGAGAAAGAGCCAACGATTAATTCACGAACGCGTCACGCGTTGTGTGACTCAGGAATAGTTATGCTAGGAACCGTTGGAAATTTGAACACGTTATAAGGAATAGTATAAGGAACGAAATATGGTCGATTTACAACGATAAATATTTCGAAATATGAAGATTTTTCTCGTAAAATCAATAAAACTTACTCATACCCTGTGTATCCGTTGTAGTTTCTGGCGATTGTTGCCGTTTTAAGCTTGCTTTACCATCACTATTATTCACGTCATCTACTTTTATTACATTGGTAAAATCTGCACAGACATCACACCAACCAACTATGTTGAAGGCTTGCAATTATATTACGATCGATTTTAGTCAAGAAATGGGCCAGGAATTTTCCACAATAGTGCAAATAATCGTGAAGGCTGATCGCGGAAAGCGATTGCGTGACGCTCGGTAAGCTGTAAGATGACATGTTATTATATACCAGACGTAAAAACTCTTCAGATTCTCAGTCTGCATTTTGTATCCACTCTGCAGTCTATATTTTGTATCTGGTCTGCAGTCTGCTGTCTACATTTTGTACTAACAGGTATCCGTGGCACCAATACAGTTTATTTTTGGTTACATTTATTCGCACAACACACATAATCTACCACAAAATACCTGTGTGTGAGGTAATTCGATATTATCATTCTTTCCCGCGTTAATAATCTTCTTTCCTTTTGTAAGAATGTAGACCACTTACAATGTTTCAAGTAATCCACCCACCCTACAAAAAATAACTCTTGCATGCATAGCATGCCTATGTTTTGAGACAGGTGTATGCCCTTGGCTAGACTTGAGCTCACTATTTCAGTATACTAGTCCGACACGCGTAGTATCACTACACTTGATTCCACGGATCCAGTACCATCCAGGTATCCCAGTTACCCTGCTCACAGGGTCTAGTTATATAAAAAATGGAAGGTTGTTGTTCGTTTAAGTTGCTTATTGGCGGAGTTTGTGGTTACAACACTAGAGATTGAATGCGTGAAACGGAAATTTTCCTTTACTTTCATGCACCAAGAATATCGCCAGTCATGAGTCGGCATTCAAATTTACCGGTCCTGAAGATGAGATCGACCTTATTTTGTGCCGAGCGCACATATGTCGGCCCCTCTGTGGTTTATGGTTTTAAACGGTGGTTGGGTCTGTTAACAGCGGTTAATAATACCACCTCTTATGCAAGCCCCACCCATTGGCCATGGAGCATAGCACCCCAGCCTCACATAAGCCACACATCCCCACCACTGCGTTTTGTAGCATGGTGTTGTAAAAATGTACAAAAGGTTCTCTTTCATGCTATTAGGGTATTCCTTGCAATTTTAGTGGAAAGAAAAACACCCCTAATAAGTACGACAGGTACAGAGCGCCAAAAAAACAAGAATTATTCCCTGCAATAAATAAATATATTTTACTGTTTGTCACCAGACAAAGATGACACTATTACAAAAATGTTTACAGAATAAAATATTTTGTAGGTTCCAAGAGTTCAATTCTGATAGTGCTTAATTATATGGAGTTTTGCCCTTCACCTACCCCCTAAAGTTCCTTTGTCACCGGTATTGCGTGTCAACCCAACTACTCAAAGGGCGTGCATGTTTGTAGTCAATGACGATTTTAACGGAATTTCGTTATTTGTATTTTTCTCTGAAATAAAAAGATATTTTGCCAAAAAAAGTATCCAGTGATTTTAGTTATAGTCTAACCTATCTCACATTAAAATAAGAAAGAAATCGAATTTTCCACCCTTGCCGCGATATGTTTGATTTTTACAGACAAACGCTCTTAAAAACAAACATGGTTGAACCTTGGAAACGACGATTTCATTTCATCGAAAGTGATTCGGACACAGACTGAAGAATTTCTTGAACTGTTTAGCCGGACTTTAAACTTTTTTGCACCTTAAAGATGTGAAGATATCATTGCATATTAATGTTTTGATCGTACGCGGTTGTTTTGACCGAACGCACGGTTTGAATAAATTATTTTTGCTCTTGATGCGCGCGCTTTGCTTATGTTTAGTATAGGTAATCACATGATTTCGAGTGCAATTTGGAAAAAATTAGCACGAGTAAATTTTTTCAAAGACTAACAAAATTGCACGAGCCTATAGTTAAAAAATTAAAAAGTGCTTATTTATTCCAAATTGCACGAGAAAAATAATTTGATTATGTGTTAATAATATACCCGGAAAAATACGAGATGGCTTATCAAAATTAAGTGAAAACGATTCAAAGTTGAATTTTTTTTTCGATCGTTGTTCTCAAATCTTACACATTTGAAAGTGCTGCAAGTACAAAAGTGTTTGTTTATCAATGAAAAGTGATGAATAATTTATCGCCAGTAACAAAGCTTTGAATCTGCCGGAAGACGAACTCATAGATTAGCTCTGAGCATATAAAAAATAATTTCCAAAACTACTTTACATCACATAGCGACGATGCTTCGCAGGAATCGCTACCGGTTCTTGAGGAGCTAAAAGCTGTCAACCAAGAATCGATAGCACAGTTGTTAAATACGGCACCAGAGAAGGCAAGTGTATCCAACCTGTCAAACGGGTTTTTTTTTACCGTACAAAATAACCAACCGTCCAAACAACCGTACAACATCGCAGAATATTTGTACTCCATTCAAGCGTTATTTGCACTTTTCTTAGTGCATTTAGATAATGACTTAAGCTGTAGTGAAAACAAGGCCTGAAAACAATTCATTCGGGATTTGAACCTACGACCTCTGCGATACCGGTGCAGTGTTTTACCAGCTGAGCCAACAAGCCAACTGGGAGTTGATTATCAAGTTGGTTTTAAATGAACGGGTGAATTGATGTGAATGTATGAACATCATAGATGTAAACGGCGGATAAAGAACTGTATATGAAAGCGATCTTTGCAGTAATGAACACTACTTAAGCAGTAGTAAAAATAAGTAGTCTGTAAGGTTTCGGCACGGGAAAATAAGAGACAGTAATAAACAAAGAAACACCAAATTTTAAGCGAATCAATTATATTATGTGTTGAAAATCTTTTAGCTGAAATATTAAATTAGATTAGCGTGACTCTTAAGATAGCGTGACTTAAGTCTCAATGTTCGCGTGACCGTTGTGATCGATATCACATCACAGTGGCGTGTCTTCAAAACTGCAAGCCAAGTTCTTTTCACCAGTAACTGGCTGCATTGTTGACGACTGGCTGCTAATTCTTTCAGACAACGCATTCATAGGAAACTGTTGATTTCGTGATCTCGGTTCTAAATCCTCATATTTTTTCCTCCTTATCGCTTTGGAGTGAAATGCTATTAGACTTCGCGGGCGTTCCGGCGGTGGCTTACAAGTGATCAAGGATTTGAATTCATCTCGAATATCCTTGTTGTAGGCGCTGTAAATTACCGGGTTTACAGTTCCGTTACAAAGCATAAGGAATGCTGAGATGGTGCTGTAATGCGGGGTAAGCTTGTCATAAAAGCCGAAGTGAAGAGATAACTGTAAAATCCAAAATGGTATGAATGAAACGTAGAAGACAAATACCAACATCGCCAACATTTTGAGAGCCTTAGTTCTTTTCGCTCGTCCCTTTCGCTGTACCTCGTGGAAGTGAAATCCAGGTGATTTGAGGAGCCAAAGTTTGATACCGATGGCTGAATACAACGCCAGAGTGATCACAAATCCCGCCGCCAACAACACTGTTTGAAATGTAAACCATTGTACGACCTTTTCGTTCGTTATCCCCACGAAACATATTACGTCACCGATGCCGTGTGCTTTGAGATGCGCAAAAGAAAACAGCGGACTGCTATAACACCCGCTTACAAACCACGTGGCGGCAATAATAAAATACGCCCTTTTCTTCGACAGCAGCGCCTTCAAAGGGAAAAATATCCCCAGAAACATCTCCACAGCGATGGCTGAAATTGTCAGATTCGACGTAAGAATTAAAACTGCGGACAAAAACACGTCAAATCGGCAGAGAAACTCTCCGAATTGACCGCGAATATGCCACGCTCCTCCTAAGAGCAGATGAACACAGATCATGGGTGTCATCTCTAAAGCAAAAAGAAGATCGGCCACAGAAAGGTTTATGATAAATAGGAAATGTACTGGTCGTCGTAAGTTCTTTCCGATTCTTCTGATGGCTTTGATTACCACTGTATTACCCACCAGTGAGAGCACTATCATTACATAGTAAGCCGTCACGAGACCGATCTGACTTTGTTGAATTTCTGTCTCAAGTCCATCTGCTGAGTAGCCGTGATTTAAAGTCTCTTGGGAGCTTAAATTCGTCGCCTTTACGAAGTCGTTAGGCATCGTAAATTATCTTTCATTTCTCTCACGGTCTTATAGCCCACAAGGTCTCATCACGAGATCAGCAGATGCAATAAATAACGCAATGGCAAAAAATAAAGTGGCGCCTTCAGTGAAGTGCATTCTTATCATTTCTTTTGGAATATCATATCATTATCACTGATTCTCAGGTTACAACAAAATCCGGCTTGTTTAGATCTGTATGAGAAAATTGCGGATTTCGGGTGTAATATGATCGTTAAGACTGTTATCTTTTCCCTGTGGTCCAAATTTAGAGATAACTTCCAGTTCCGTCGAGAAATTCCTGTTGCGCACTTTAAAAATATGTAGTATCATAAAAAGAAACACTTTGTGGAAAAAAAAAACCAGAAAGAAAAGAGGTTTGAGCGGAAGGCGCACCAAATCTTTTTGCTGTACATTTGCAGAAAATCCTTGTTCATTTGTGTCAATAGTTGTTTCATGAAGGAGGATATATTCTCATTGAGACGAAAATAAGCTACAATTACTCTAGAGAAGCGACATTTGCAGTTTAAAGGACATTTACCGGCATTATGACAAAGCAATAATCTCCTTCAGATATTCAATGTTTGAAATCACCCAAATTACATTCATTAAGGCACAAAGATAATCAATTTTTATTTCCTGTACATGACAATCATATCTGTAGACAGGAAATTCGTCAGCGCGATTTTCATTTGAAACAAGAATCACCTGCTACTTTTGACAACCTTTTCCGTACAGTAACAATCTTTAACATCAATGCCACAATAACGTTTATTTATGGACGAAAGAGTCTCAATTCTGCTTTAACTACGTCACTATTGAGGTTACGAAGAGTGTATTTCGATTGGTGGAAAAAGTAGAAATTTGAATACTCTAATCCGAATGTATACACTCTTTATTTTTATAAGAACGTTTTTTTGTAAGAATGTTGAGGGTGAGATTGACCAAAACTTTAAGAACATATTATAAGGATAAACCCAAGCCGAGAGTCAGTTAAGAACATCTTTATTTCGCTCAAATTTTTTGTGTAAGAAGTATAAAGTTAAATGAAATGTAAATTTGTGGACAATTTACTCAAATTCTTAAAGACATTTTTAACATTAACAGTGTGGTTTTATGATTACGATATACGCTGTAGAGCAAGTAGAGGTAATCTGTACTCATAAAACTTCTAAAATACTATACCACACAGCTTTAAGAAGATGTTGAGAACATTTTGTTTAAAAGAATCATTCGTTTTCGTATTCTAACAATAATGCTTTGTACTTAAATGAAACCTGCTTCTTTATAAAGACTGTCAGTGCCAAAATATAAATCAAAGCAGCAAAGGTACCGGAAATTCTTTCTCAGCGGAAGGGGGGGGGGGAGGGAGGAAGGAGGGAAGGAGCGGCGGCGTTTGTTTTTGGTTAAAGTGCACAAGGGAAGATGATGATGATCTTCAGACCCCAGCAAGATGCTAAAACAGGTGACGAGATAAATACGTAAATTAATAGAGATATTGAAATAAAAGACAACTACGTGTGAAACGTAAAGCTAAGTAAGGTTGTTTTTGTGTTAGAAATTTCGGTTTGTAACCAGTAAGTAAGTAAGGACCCTTATTTTAACACGATGAGAATGAATGTATATTACAGTACATGCTTGAGGGGTTGTCTGTAACTGACTAACACCCTGGTAACCTACAAGTAAACGTGGATAAAATATCTTAAAAAATAATTATTCTCAAAAGTAAATACATGGCAATGAAAGATTTACTATTATTTTATACTTCAAAATAATTGAAAATTGAAAATTGAAAATCGGACATCTTCGCTACCGAATGTGCGGATAAACTGGTAAATCTGACTGCTCTATTATTAACTGTGGGATCAGATTTTAACTTTCTATAAAATTGCTTAAAACTCCAAATAAAATAATTTAAGAGGTCGAAGATAGAAAGAGGAACGAAAACCGTGTTTACATACGCTCATGTAAATTGGTTTTATGGCCAATCAGAGCGCGCGTACTATTTGATTTATTTTATAATTCATGTTGTTACCTCTACGAATCCTGCACTACGCATAAAAATCGCATATTTAGGCGAATAAGCGCGCGCATTTGCAGAACACGGTTTAGTCTTCAATTAATCAACCAGGTACAGATCTTTAGCTCTTGAACGAGCACAGTGACTTATACTTTTATTGCATTGTTGGTGTCCAAATTATCCCCTTTAGATTGGAGAAAAAAAACATCGAAGGGGAAAGATAGATATAGCTAAAAGCTTTCTCGTACCTTAAAAGCACCGACTCGAGGCACCTTTTGAGTCTTGAAGTTGCTTGATTTTCCCGCAAATTCTGTGTCAAATTTTTTATACGGTCGAGACGTTCTACCTATCAAGTTTTTTTTCAAGTGTTACTTTAAAACCCCTGCTTCTAGCAACCGTAAAATGTACAGTGAACCGATGAAAAGACTGCGTGATTTGTGCCAACACAGACATAAATGGAGTACGTTTGGTCCGTCATATGTCTTAAACAAGCATTTTTTTAATTTTATTTTTTTAAACAGACATTGGTAGGGAACATTAAACTATGCGCTGAACTTGTGGATTCGTTAAGTTGATGAGCTCTCTCTCTTTTTTAAATGATAAACTTTTAAAATTCTAAACAAATTTTGACTAGTTCAAAATGGTTGTATTTAGGGACAGACGCATAAATGATGTCACCATCAACAGAATTTTGCTTTGCCTTTACGTCAGACAAATAGATTATATGTTATCATAATGTGGTAACATGGGATCTATTTGTGAAATTGATAAAGTCGTTTAGAACTTTCAGATATGAGAAAGGGCAGTTCAACCGTTTATCGACTGACGATCAACGTTAAATTACCAAGAGTAATTAAAATCACCAGAATATTGTATCCCCTTCCATTTAAAGCGCTAAACCAGTCCAATACTGACTTTTTGGCTTACCTTTTTGCACTTTATAGCTTTGTCAGAATAGAATAATTTCGTGCTTCATACCTGTAGGTGACTCCTTATCTTCCACATACACAATTTACTATCACCTCAAATGAAGGTATAATGTAAAAATTGTTTATAAAATTCAAGACAACCCAAACCTTTCCCCAGTTCTCTTCAAATCATTACCTAACATACGAGGAGGTATGCTGTACCGTTAGCCATGAATTATAAAGTTAATTCATGGGAAAGATACGCTACACTTGCTTAAAACAAAACTGTAAATAAAAGCTGGTCATATCTGAAGATGTATTGTTCGAACCATAGAATTCATCATTTTATAGTACTCCAGAAATTAGAAGGCATGATCAGATTAAGCTTAACCAGTTAGGAGAACTTATTCAGACCTTCGATGATCCATGGAAAAGAAATCGACCTGTCTTTACCATGTGATTCACTGTATGGCCTGGACATGAGGTTTCCATTTTCCCTCAAAGTTCTTGCTTATAGCTTGTTTTTCGATGGTTCAGACGCTGATCTGAAAGTAATCTGAGAAGCTTTCCTTCGTTTTGTCAAATGAATATTATTTCCTTGGCTCCACTGTTTTGACTTCCTTGTTTTTTTGTTTCATGTTATTCGTGGACTCGACAGGTTCTTGCATAAGGCGCACAGCAGGCGATGATGTTTCTTAAAACAGCGCATATGAAAAGCAGAGCGACCAAACAGACCTCGATAAAGGTTTGTGTTTGAGTTCGGACGAGTAAACAAAAAAGATGGTGTTGCCATTACAACAATTTTGCAAAACTTACTTGAGTCAAAATTAGTTGTGATTCTCGAGGCTTTTAAGGTGCAGGTGTTTTGTCTGTGAAATTAGCTTAATGTTTTCGTAGATGCTATTTCTGACACAATAAAACAATAGGCAGACCGGAGTTGGATCGAATTATGACATGATTGTCATTTCCTTATGAGGAAAAATGAACATTTTCTTGTTTGCCCTCGCAATCGTATTCAAGGCATAAAAGCAAACTTGGTCACCAGCACAAAACCAAGTAATCGTATGATAAAGCAATTGGAAAAACGTGCAGCTTCCTGCATTTTTTGCCACACATCCTGTTGCGACCTTTTCTGCATTTATGTATTTGATAAAAACTTTGAAAGAACTCATTTGACGCCTACTTCCTGGCGCGCGCAATTAAGGACTTTGTTTCAATTTTATTGTTCAATTTCAAGCGCGCGCTCATTGGTTAAAATTGAATTCAAATGATTTAATTTTTAATGACGCACTAAGTTTTGTTGCGCGCACGAAAAAAGGTGGATCTAACTGGACTTGTAATGTTCCTTCGGAATTTAAAGGGGTTTTCTAATCGATTTTACGGATTTTGAGGGCTGTCGGGAAAACTTTTAGAACACATCCGGGCATTCCTTAATTCTGAAACAGAAACACGACGTAAACTTTTCATAGCAACGAATAAAACATTCATTACTCTAAACGACTACATCGATTAGCTTTTTGACAAACACCTGGACCACGATGCCTAGCACAAATGACAAAAATAAACCCAAAAAGACAGATATCCTAAAGAAAAAAACACACTTACACGCAAAAGCACGCAAACGAAGAAACGAAAGCATAACCAAAATTTAGGCAGTCTATGACTACATGTGGCTACTGATGCAATACAATGTTTATAGTATTGAAAAGATCCAGAGGTTGTATAATGACGCTAGAATGATCAGAAGAGAGTAAATAACTGACATTCGACCAAAAATGAAATGGTAACAAATAATCATATGAACAATGATAATAACAACAAAAATAGTAACAGCTGACTGTGAATATATGAAAATCATACAAAAAAGTCGTACATGTGAACTGAGGATAAGGAAGGTGAATATGGAAGCGATCTACGCCGTAACGGCTAGTCAAAATGTGGCGCAACTCGTAAAAATACTCAGCGATACTTCACACCAAAACGTATAATAAGTGATTTATTATCCAAGTACTGCTTTATTTTTTTATGCACTTCTTATAAGGTGGGAAAAGCAAAGCACGCAGAGAAGCGGTTTGTGACAGGTCTTGCGCTTGCACATGAGGTTTGAAAACGATTCAAAGTTGAATTTTATTTTCGATCTTTGTTCTCAAATCGTACACATTTGAAAGTACTATAAGTACAAAAGTGTTTGTTTATCGATGAAAAGTGATGAATAATTCATCACTAGTAGCAAACTGTTTAATCTATCGGAAGACGAATTCTCAAAGACATGGACGAGCTCTTAGCATATAAAAAAGAATTTCTAAAACTTCATTTCATTTTCATCATCCGACTCAAACAGATGGCGCCGACGCTTCGCGGGAATCGCTGCTGGTACTTGAGGAGCTGAGGGCTGGGAACTCAGAACAATGGTGCAAATGTTAAATTCAGCACCAGCGAAGGCAAATGTAGCTAACCTCTCAAACAGGTTTTTCGACAATACAAAATAACCTTATACAATATTGCGCAAAATTTTTGCTCCATTCGAGTGTTATTTACACTTTACTTAGTGCAGTTGGATAATAATGAACTCTGCTTAAGAAGTAGTGAAAATAAGGCCTGAAAAAAATTCAGACCTGTACGGGATTTGAACCCATGACCTTCACGATACCGGTGCAGCGCTTTACCAACAGAGCTAACAAGCCAACTGGGAACACTACTTAAGCAGTAGTGAAGATAAGCAGCCTGTGAGGTTTCGGCAAGGGAAAATTAAGGGGCAGTAATAAAAAGAAACGCCAAATTTCAAGTGAATCAGTTACATTTTGTGTTGACAATGTTTCAGCTGAAATATTGAAGTCTTAATGTTCGCGTGACCACTGTTTCACATTACATTCGTGTGTCTTCAAAACTATAAGTCAAGTTTTTTTCACCAGCAACTGTCTTCACTTCCGTCGACTGGCTGCTAATTCTCATATTCGTAGGAAACTGTTGATTTGGAGATCTCGCTTCTGAATCTTCAAATTTTTTCCTCCATATCGCTTTGGCGTGAAATGCTATTAGACTTCGCGGGCGTTCCGCCGGTGGCTTACAAGTTATCATGGATTTGAATTGATCCCGAATATCCGTGTTGTACGCGCCGTAAATTACCGGGTTTACAGTTCCGTTACAAAGCATAAGGAATGCTGAGATGGTGCTGTAGTGCGGGGTGAGCTTGTCATAAAAGCCGAAGTGAAGAGATAACTGTAAAATCCAAAATGGTATGAATGAAACGTAGAAGACAAATACCAACATCGCCAACATTTTGAGAGCCTTAGTTCTTCTCGCTCGTCTCTTTCGCTGTGCCTCGTGGAAGTGAAATCCAGGTGATTTGAGGAGCCAAACTTTGATACCGATGGCTGAATACAACGCCAGAGTGATCACAAATCCCGCCGCCAACAACACTGTTTGAAATGTAAACCATTGTACGACCTCTTGGTTATTTATGCCGACGAAACATATTACGTCACCGATGCCGTGTGCTTTGAGATGCGCAAAAGAAAACAGCGGACTGCTATAACACCCGCTTACAAACCACGTGGCGGCAATAATAAAATACGCCCTTTTCTTCGACAGTAGCGCCTTCAAAGGGAAAAATATCCCCAGAAACATCTCCACAGCGATGGCTGAAATTGTCAGATTCGACGTAAGAATTAAAACTGCGGACAAAAACACGTCAAATCGGCAGAGAAACTCTCCGAATTGACCGCGAATATGCCACGCTCCTCCCAAGAGCAGATGAACACAGATCATGGGTGTCATCTCTAAAGCAAAAAGGAGATCGGCCACAGAAAGGTTTATGATAAATAGGAAATGTACTGGTCGTCGTAAGTTCTTTCCGATTCTTCTGATGGCTTTGATTACCACTGTGTTACCCACCAGTGAGAGCACTATCATTACGTAGAAAGCGATCACGAGAACGATCCGACTTGGTTGAATTTCTGTCCCAGTTCCATCTGCTGAGTAGCTATGATTTAAAACCTTTTGGGAAATTAAATTCGTCGCATTTACAAAGTCATTGGACATCGTAAATTATCTCTCATTTCTCTCAAGGTCTTATAACTCAGAAAAAGTCTCGTCACGAGAATCAGCAATTCTCAGGTTACATCAAAATCCCGTTTAGATCTGTATGAGAACATTGCGGATTTCAGGTGTCATTTTATAGTTAAGAATGATGTCTTTTCCCTGTGGTCCAAATGTAGACATACCTTCCGCTTCTGTCACGACATTCCTGTTGTGCACCTTAAAATATATGCAATAACTCCCTAAGACTTCGTTGTTTGAAATCAACCAAATTCATTCATTACGGCAAAAAGAGAATTAATTCTTTACTACATTTACATGACAATCATATTTGTAGACAGGAAATTCATCAGCGCGATTTGCATTTGAATTAACAAACACCTGTTACTTTTGACAACTATTTCTCTACAGTTAACAATCTTTATCATTAGAGCTTTACCTCTTTTCATGTTGTCACCCATTTATCATAATAAGCATTCTCACGTAACACGAGTGCAAAGTTGTAACATGAGTACAAATTACAAATAACGCGCGTACGCTTTCAAATTTTCGTCTGTCTTGACTCTCTCTGACTTTCTTTCACGTAACTTATTGACGAGTAATAACATCGTGCTCACTAACACCAAATTGCCCTCGAATTCATGTTGTTACCTCTACGAATCCTGCACTACGCATAAAAATCGCGTGATTAGGCGAATAAGCGCACGCATCCCCAGAACACAGTTTAGTTTTCAATCAATGGACCAGGTAAAGAGGTACAGTGATCTTTAGCTCTTGAACGTGCACAAGACAAGACCGAAGGGGAATATGGGATCTTAATGAATAATTATCAGCAAAATTAACAATGCCTCGTCCATACAGCGAAGATCTCCGATGGCGAGCCATTTGGATGAAAGAAATGTTGGGGTTTCAAGTGGATGAGGTTGTCGGTAATCGGTCTTGTCCCGTGCCCTTGAAGCTTTGATCCGACAACGTAAATTGAAATAGCTGTAAATGGAGCACGTTTGGTCCATCAAATGTCTTAAACAAGCATTTTTTAGACTTTATTTTTTGAAACAGACATTGGTCGGGAACATTAAAAGAAAGTTAAAAAAAATAGCTCGATAACTTTTTTGAGTGAGGAATAACCTTAAAAGAAATTATGCGCACCCGTTGAGTTGATTTGGTATTATCCAAACACCAAACCTCACAATTGGTGTATATCATAAATTTGGATTTTACCTTTAAAGCTCTGAACCCATCCATTATGTTTTCTTGTGCAGCCAAAGTACTATGCCGCTCAAGAGGATTTTGCTAGTTTTGGCGATGGAAATCGTAATTTTAACCTTCTCGAATAAAAACTGTTGGCTATAATAAGTCCCAGAACGGAAACAAAATTTTATCTACGAAACGTAAGGATAATCTGGAGTAATAATTTCTGCTAAGGATCAGCAGTCATTACTTTAGCTGATGCAGATGATAGCCTTTTCCTGCCATTCTCGATGATGTAAGAGGCAAATAGCTATTCCACCTACCCTACCCTCGCATAAAACACATAAAAAGTCGTAAAACATAAGTCACGTTAAAGAGTAACAAAAGTAGAACAACGAAAAGAAACAATGAGGTGTTGAACAAGTTGCCACTATATATTTTATTTCCAGTAAGCGGATTTCCACAATAACAACTCAGATTAAAAATAAAACTGAAAGAAGGCATGACATGGCATAATCACTTCTGCCATAAATTGTCTTAATTTCTTAATTGATCTAACACTAGGTCACCAGTTTGTTCGGACTGCGTTCATTAAATTCGGAATCGAAATTGAGATACTTTGCTGAATGTCACATCAACTTCTAGCGGGATGGAAAAGAAAACCTTATGCCATAAAAACGCTGAAAAATAACTACAATGTCTCTAATTTGAGACTTTTATTTGTATAAGTTTATAGCTGAGATGACATTCTCTTTGTAATATTTGACAGCTAAATAACCTTAAGTTAAAACGTGTTTACAACTGTCTTTATAAATTGACTTAGTCTCAATTTGTTAACAGGTGTGGAGTGAACATGTCCAGCTAAATTAGAAATGAAATTATTCAGTTCTTGCAAAATAAGCGTTTCATAATTTTTCGAATTTCTCTGTTTCTTATCCCGAACGTCATTGGATTAGTGACGAGATCGAGAAACATCATGTAAACGCCGAACATGCGTACTTCGCGAGACACGGGAACGCCGCGTGATACGAGAATACTCAGGGTGACATTTGGGACCCAGCTCAAACAGAAAAGGAACACTATCATCGATATGGTACGGGCGATGTGGATATCCTCTCCTCTGAGCTCGGTTACATGCGGTTCTGTTGTGGCTCTGGAGGGCCCTGGACGTGGCACCTGCTTTGGGTCCTCATCTTGGGACCTGTTGTTTGGTACCGCGATTCTTCTTCTATGGCGACGAACAACTTGCGCGATTTTGATGTAGCAGCCAATGATGACAAGGATGCAACAAGAAATCACCACATAGCTAGTGATACGAAAGGAGATGTAAGCCTTTTCTGAGATCGAGCAAATTGCCTTGGAGGGAATAAACTGATATTTCCCCCATCCTAAAAACGGTCCACTGCTCAACAAAATCGCTAAACACCAGATCAACACAGTCATAAAGATGACAGACTTCTTGAAAAACACACTTCTATACTTGCTAGGTTTGACTATCTTGAAATAACGATTCACGCTGATCGCAGTGAGGTTGAAAAGGCTAACGGCAAACAAAGCAACGTCGAGGAAAGCGTAAAAATTACAGAGCTTCTCTCCAAAACTCCATTCTCCTCTGATGATGGTGATGATCAGCATCGGAAGCTGCCACAGTGCCAGCAACAAGTTCGATACGGCAAGGTTTACGAAAATCGCATTGGGAATGGTACGGAGGTTTGTCTTTTTGTACACCGCACAGCAGACGATGATGTTTCCTGAAACTGCGCATATGAAAAGCAGAGCGACCAAAGAGACCTCGATAAAGGTTTGTGTTTGAGTTCGGACGGGTAGCAAAAAAGATGGTGTTGCCATTATAATAATTTTGCAAAACTTCCTTGAGTCAAAATTTGTTGTGATTCTCGAAGCTTTTAAGGCGCAGGTGTTTTATCTGTGAAAGCTTAATGTTTTCGTAGATGCTATTTCTGTAACATTATGAGACCATAGGTAGACAGGCGTTATATCGAATTATGACATGACTGTCGTTTCTTTATGAGAAGAAATGAAAACTTTCGTGTTTGCCCTCGCAATTGTATTCAAGGCATAAAAGCAAACTTGGTCATCAGCACAAAACCCAGTAATCGTATGATAAAGCAACTGGAGGAACGTGCAACTTCCTTCATTTTTTACCACACATCCTGTTGCGACCTTTTCTGCATTTATGTAATAAATAAATAAAGGACTTTGTTTCCTTTTTTATTGTTCAATTTCAGGCGCGCGCTCATTGGTTGAAATTGAATTCAAATGATTTAATTTTTAACGACGTAATATGTTTTATTGCGCGCACGAAAAAAGGTGGATTTGGGATTTTTAGAGTCTAACTGGACTTGTAATGTTCCTTCGAAATTTAAAGGAGTTTTCTAATCGATTTCACGGATTTTGAGGGCTGTCGGGAAAACTGTGAGAACACATCCCGGCATATTCTTTAATTCTGAAACAGAAACACGACGAGAACTTTTCATAACGACCAAAACAACGTTCACTATTCTAAACGACTACATTAATTAGCTTTTGGAAAACACCGGGATCACGATTCCTAGCGTTTTATCTCTCAGCGAAAAACAAACAGAATAAATGACAAACCTAAACGCAAAAAGCAGATATCTAAAAGAAAAAAACACATATACACGCAAAAGCACGCAAACGAAGAAACGAAAGCATAACCAAAATTTAGGCAGTCTATGACTGCATGTGGCTACTGATGCAAGACAATGTTTATAGTGTTGGAAAGATCCAGAGGTTGTATAATGACGCTAGAGGGTAGTGTTGTTCACATGCAAAACAGGAAACCTGCCACATCCCACATATTAATAAGTACCTTGTTCCACAAGAGAAACTGAGATGACTCAAGAATGATCAGAAGAGAGTGAATAATTGACACTCCACCAAAAATTAGATGGTCACAAATAATCATACGAACAATGATAATAACAATGATAACAATAGTTAACAATTGGTTCATACGTCAGCGTGCGTTCATCGAGATATGAAGCACGGGGGAAGTTTGGAGAGCACGAAAGATGTTATATGTTATAATAATAGTTGACTGTGAATATATGAAAATCATATCAAAAGTCACACATGTAAACTGCGGACAGCAAGGTGAATATGGAAGCGATCTTATATCCGCAGAGCGAGTCAAAATACGGCAAAACTCGTGAAAATACTTGGCGATACTACACACCAAAACATCTAATAAGTTATTTATTAAGCAAGTACTGCTTTAGTTTTTATGCAGTAACAAAGCCTTGAATCTACCGGAAGACGAATTCTCAAAGACATGGACGAGCTCTTAGCTTATAAAAAAGAATTTCATTTTCATGATCTGACTCAAACACATGGCGACGACGCCTCGCGGGAATCGCTGTCGGTACTTGACGAGCTGAGGGCTGTGAACTCAAAACAATGGTACAAATGTTAAATTGAGCACCAGAGAAGGCAAATGTAGCCAACCTCTCAAACAGGTTTTTCGACAATACAAAATAACCTTGTGCAATATTGCGCAATATTTTTACTCCATTCGAGTGTTATTTACACTTTATTTAGTGCAGTTGGATAATAATGAACTCTACTTAAGAAGTAGTGAAAATAAGGCCTGAAAAAAATTAAGGCCTGTACGTGATTTGAACCCATGATCTCCGCGATACCGATGCAGCGCTTTACCAACTGAGCTAACAAGCCTACAGGGAAAATTACTTAAGCAGTAGTGAAAATAAGCAGCCTGTGAGGTTTCGGCAAGGGAAATTAAGGGACAGTAATAAAACAAGAAACGCCAAATTCCGAGTGAATCAGTTATATTTTGTGTTGACAATCTTTTAGCTGAAAAATTGAATTGGATTAGCGCTACTCATAAGATCGCGTGACTCAAGTCTTAATGTTCGCGTGACTCAAGTCTTAATGTTCGCGTGACCACTGTTTCACGTTACAGTCGTGTGTCTTCAAAACTACAAGCCAAGTTTTTTTCACCAACAATTGGCTTCACTTTCGTCGACTGGCCACTAATTCCCCTAGGCAACCCATCCATAGGAAACTGTTGATTAGGTGATCTCGCTTCTAAATCTTTAAATTTTTTCTTCCTTATCGCCCTGGTGTAAAATGCTATCAGACTTCGCAGGCGTTCCGGCGGTGGCTTACAAGTGATCAAGGATTTGAATTCATCCCGAATATCCGTATTGTACGCGCTGTAAATGACCGGGTTTACAGTTCCGTTACAAAGCATAAGGAATGCTGAGATATTGCTGTAGTGCGGGGTGAGCTTGTCATAAAAGCCGAAGTGAAGAGATAACTGTAAAATCCAAAATGGTATGAATGAAACGTAGAAGACAAATACCAACATCGCCAACATTTTGAGAGCCTTAGTTCTTTTCGCTCGTCCCTTTCGCTGTACCTCGTGGAAGTGAAATCCAGGTGATTTGAGGAGCCAAAGTTTGATACCGATGGCTGAGTACAACGCTAGAGTGATCACAAATCCCGCCGCCAACAACACTGTTTGAAATGTAAACCATTGTACGACCTCTTCGTTCTTTATGCCGACGAAACATATTACGTCACCGATGCCGTGTGCTTTGAGATGCGCAAAAGAAAACAGCGGACTGCTATAACACCCGCTTACAAACCACGTGGCGGCAATAATAAAATACGCCCTTTTCTTCGACAGTAACGCCTTCAAAGGGAAAAATATCCCCAGAAACATCTCCACAGCGATGGCTGAAATTGTCAGATTCGACGTAAGAATTAAAACTGCGGACAAAAACACGTCAAATCGGCAGAGAAACTCTCCGAATTGACCGCGAATATGCCACGCTCCTCCCAAGAGCAGATGAACACAGATCATAGGTGTCATCTCTAAAGCAAAAAGGAGATCGGCCACAGAAAGGTTTATGATAAATAGGAAATGTACTGGTCGTCGTAAGTTCTTTCCGATTCTTCTGATGGCTTTGATTACCACTGTATTACCCACCAGTGAGAGCACTATCATTACGTAGAAAGCGATTACGAGACCGATCCGACTTGGTTGAATTTCTGTCCCAGTTCCATCTGCTGAGTAGCTATGATTTAAAGCCTTTTGGGAACTTAAATTCGTCGCATTTACAAAGCCGTTGGACATCGTAAATTATCTGTCATTTCTCTCACGGTCTTATAACTCACAAAGTCTCATCACGAGATCATCGGATACAATAAATCACACAAGGGATAAAACAATAGAGTGGCGCATTCAGTGAAGTGCATGCTTATTATTTCTTTTGGATTATCATATCATAATCAGGAATTCTCAGGTTACATCAAAATTCTGTATAGATCTGTATGAGAAAATTGCGGATTTCGGGTGTCATATTATAGTCAGACTGATATCTTTTCCTTGTGGTCCAAATGCAGAGATAACTTCCACTTCTGTCGCGACATTCCTGTTGTGCACTATAAAATTGTTGCAATAACTCTCTCAGACTTCATTGTTTGAAATCAACCAAAGCACATTCATTAAGGCAAAAAAACGAATAATTGTTTGTTACATTTACATGACAATCATATTTGTAGACAGGAAATTCATCAGCGCGATTTGCATTTGAATTAACAATCACCTGCTACTTTTGACAACAATTTCTCTACAGTTAACATTCTTTAACATTAGTGCTTTACATCTTTTCTTGTTGTCACCATTTATCATAATTAGCATTTTTTGTACTTACTTTATAATTGAAATGAAAGACAAGTATGTGTTAATCGTGTATTAGAAATTCTGGTTTGTAACCAGGTAAGTAAGTGAGAAAGTGAGCATGAAAGCATCACATGCTTGAGGGGTTGTGTGTTACTAGTTAATACCTTGGTAACCTACTGGTAAACGTGGATAGATTATTTAAAAAATAATTATTCTCAAAAGTAAATACATGGCAATAAAAGATTTACTATTATTTTATACTTCAAAATAATTTAAAATTGAAAATCGGACATCTTCGCTACTGAATGTGCGGATAAGCTGGTAGATCTGACTGCTCTATTATTAAATGTGGGATCAGATTTATAAATTGCTTAAAACTCCAAATAAAATAATCTGGGAGGTCGAATATACTATAGATTAGACTGATTTGGAATTATTATTATCTTTTTATTCAAGTCTTCAGAATCCTTTGGAATGGTATCTAACTTGTTAGATTCATGTTTGAATATTGAAAATGAATCACGTCTTCGCTATTGGTACTTTCGTCAAGTTGATATTCTACTGCCTCGGTTCTGTGAATTATGCAAACTTCTAAACTAATGATTGTCAATAGGCTAGACTGATTTGGAATTAATCCATTTACCGAGCTCTTCAGAATACAGAGGGATGTCATTTAGCTTGATTCATGATTGGATTTCGGAAATAATAATATACGGGCTTGTGCAATTTTGTCGTCTTTGAAAAATTTTCGCGCTAATTAACACCAAATCGTTGTTACCTATACTGATACACATCTCGATTATTAGTATTTTCAACACACTGATATTCGACTGTGTCAGTCTTGTGCAATTAAGGTGATTCCAGTGTCATTGTTAGTTTGATGGTTTATATCCTGCTTATTGTCCATATTTTGGTCTCTGACGGATGTCCCGCAGGTTACACTGGGTCGCCATGTAGGCGTAAGTATTAAATTATAAAATAGTTCTTCTCATATAGGGAAAAATTTTGTTTCATTAAAAAAAAATGCACCTCCACGTATGGAAAGATGATTTGCTGTCAAGCAGGTATTATAAGTATGTAACAGTGTACTTCTTCTAGTTTCAATTAGACGGCAAAATAATTTTCACACTGTCACTCTTGTACTGGATCACATCGAGCATACAAACACTTTTTTTTCTGCGACTAACAATAATTGTTTAAATCTGCGTGTTTCAAAACATATGAGGATGAGACAGATGCAAGTTGTAGGTCAAAAGGATCATTGTGCATTGCTGCAAAAAGCGTAATTTTTTCTATTATTGCCGTGCCTTGTGGCTCAAGTAAAGGTTATTAGGGGTATGTAGTTCTGTGCAGGATTTGTTCAAAAAGTTCTGTTCAGTCGAATTATTTAAGCGCTATGATACAAAAGTGTAAACAGTTTAAAAAGTACGAAGGTTTTCCAGAACCTGGACATCACCATGATTATGTTGATATTTTGCGGTTAGTTTTTTGGGGAAAAATGAAGGTACAGCTTGACCTCCTTTCTCCCTGTAATGGTACAAATCATCAAAAAATTGTAGAAATATCACCGAAATTTTAAAAGTTTCTCTCAAAAGCCCAAAAGGTATCTCTCGCAACCCAAATATTACACGAACTTACTCGAGAGAGTTTTTTTGTTTAAACGCTGGAAAGATCATCACTACGGTCGTTAAAAACACAATTATAATTCAGAAGGTTAATCACAATTATTATAGAATCTTTATGTAAATGTTAATTATGCGAATGAGTGATTTTCTTTTAACTCTTTAACTCTCAAGATCTAATTGTCAATTCTCCCCTCTGGCTGCTACACATTTCCTTGTAAATTAGCTATAAGAACTTAGTGCAAGGTCAAGATAGCAGCTTCTACGCGATAAGTTTGAATACTCTCATTACCTGTTTGCTGAATATTTATGGGTATAACAGGGAGAAGTTTCATCTTAATCACTTTTGGGAGTTACATGGTTAATCTTCTTTTTTTCTACTCTAATTTTTTACTACTTTACATAGAAAGTACATTTAATTTTCTTTCTCTTCCATAACCGTGCATGTTGGTATGGACCTTTCGCATAAAAAACTGCGGAGGCAACGATAACGCAGCAAAACATGAGATTCGGTGAGCAGAGCGAAAGCTCTCGAACGTTCTAAAACTTTGTGTATATCTCAGCCGTTCCACAGCAGTGTGAAGTCACCAAATTTTAGTTCAGTAAACTCTCCAATACTCGTCGCTATGCCTTATTGTCCGCGTGAATTCTGTGAAGTACTGGGTGACTGGTCTTTCATGGTGACGTCACGTCTTACATTAGGATCCAGGTTCGACCGAACTTAGGGATTAAGTGAACTGTAAGCACTCTTTCCCAAGAAGCCAGTCAATGGTAAATCATCTAGTCCCAAGACAGCTGAGGCTTACAAAAATTCTCTCAGAGGCTGAGATTCAAGAAGGCAGTTTTAGTAAATTAATAGTCATGGAAATTCAAAGCATATTTTTTCTGGGGCATGAGACAAAGCAATAATGCCCTTCAAAAAGAATCGAAGCGATTAAATTGTTGTACGTTTTGGTGAGCCACTTTTATTCCCGAGACATTTCAAGAACGAGTGCGGGCTACGAGGCTACGAGGGCTCGGTAGTTGAAAAGGCGGTTAGCGCTTTTCAGAGATAAGATTTTTAGCAAATTTTTTAAACTTTCTGCTGGTTTTTCGGTTGTGAAACGTTTGTATGGAAAAGCTATTTGTTTGTGGGATTTATAATTAACATTCCGGTAGAGAAAAGAATGATAGAAACCAAATATGGAATTGTCTGAACTGAAAAACTGCTGAGGAAAATAAAAATTTTTCCGTAGGTTAGGACTGGATTATTTCTACTCCTTCCGGGTGGAATGTTTCTCCATTAAACCTCTGGTTAAAGAGAGGAGATACTCCTGAGGAAGAAAGGTTTTCTTGTTGAAGAGCAGAACACTATATTCTTGGGCCCGAATCGAACCCAGCTTTCGGACCAGAACTCAGACAGCGTGTCCTTAACCCTTTACTCCCTAACATCAGTATGCATATTCTCTATACCACTCCTTAGACATTCCTTAGGTTTCTGACAAGGAGAATTTGTTCAACAATCAAAAGCTTCTTTAGTTGGTAATAATCTCCCTTATTCTCATGACCTTAACGTTTGATTCAGGGGAATTATTACAAGGAGAAATTAGATGTTGGTAACTCTTAGGGGCTCTTCACCAAGTAACGAAAAATCCTTTTCAAACCTGGGAAGATGGTTTGATGTTCCTGCTCGTACTTTCATTCCAACAAGTGGCCTTCTTATCATAACATCAATTCATTGTCGAATCTTTGTTTTCAGGTTAAAGATGAAGACATCATAAGAATCGGTTTCGAATATGATTTAGATGGATTGTCTTTAGTTTTTCTTGGGGATGAAAACTGAATGATTCAATAAACGTAATATTTATGCAAGATTATGTGGTGGTGCTTTAGTTTACGCATGGAGGACTAAGGCGCAATGGTCAGATCCTGATTCCAATGAATCCGGCAACGGAATATCGTGTCACGCATATGCTGTAGGATTTACCCCACGTCATACTCGCCTGCTACTCGAGTACAGGTACCTCTTAATTTTCACTATAAAAACACATTGACGTCATCTTTGAACATGGGAAATTGAGGTCGATTTACCAATTGTTGTAGAAAAGAGAATAACTTTGTGCTTTAAGAGGATTTGTTTACCTAACAGTCGTGAGTTTGTGTCATTTAAACGGTTATTATCGGGGCTATTGTCGTTCAAATTCCTTCCATAGATTCTCTTGATGAAATTGTGTTACAACAGCCCTCCCTTTCCGAAAGACTCTTGGATAAAAGGGGGTATTTTCAACTGAACCGACTTGGCAGAGGAAATGAAGCGTGTTACGACAGGATAAAATTCCATTAATTGCTTACTTTATAAACCAAGTCAGATGCAGTTACTTTTAAGATCAACTTATCTTATTACATGCAAACTAAAAGTTTTAAATTATCGCCTAGTGGCACTATCGTGCTCAGCGTGGAACCACTATTGTCAAGCGAAATTATTTTTGCAGAGATAAACATTTAGTGATATTTGCAAACAGGAAATTAAGGTCAAATGACGAGAGGATTAAGAGCGATTCGTTATGCCAGTTTGCATTCTGGGTACACGATTTATGTATCGCTTTCTAGGAATCAAAGTCGATTTGGTGCGCAGATTTGTTTGCTTTAAAGTTTACAGAGATGAAGCTTAGTCAGTTAATTGCGGGCTATGTTGTCCTATTTTTACTCTGGGAATCAGGCACAGCTGCAAGGGAAATTCATATTTCACCGTCTGGGAACGATTCGTCAGACTGCACCAGTATCGAACCATGCAAAACACTGGATCATGGCCTCTCCATCGCTTTAAAGTCCAACTCGGCACAGTTAATG